ACAATCACCTTTTTTAAATCCGTAGCTTGCGTCGTCGGATCCCGAGGGTGGTCTTCGAAACGTCATACAAGCTTGTTTCCCTGTTAGAGGGAGTGGGAATGAGATCGAATGGAGTTGAGGGCAAGGATATTGAGGTATATATTCCGAGCTTTCCGATATCGACATCACTTTAGGTAGTTAATAGTTAAGCCAATGCTGCAATGGCAGAATGGCTAGTTTGCCAAGAATTGTTTTGGGGATCGGCTTCGTATGTTGGACTGCAGGTTGAAAAGAATTGGCTAAGTGGAATCAAGATAAGAGTAGAAATGAAAGTTTGCTCTACATATATCAAGTGCACACTTTAAGCGGTACCAAGGTACAAATGCTTCAGACATGCAGCATGCACTGATGCAACATGCAGCTAGAGATATTGAAAGTTTAGACTTAGTTATCCGTTTCTTCAACTTCAAACAAAACACACCTTATGTACAAATCTTTAGAGTCCGTCAACCTTAACTCATTTTTCAATATGAATTTTATGTATAGGTACATATATGTATCATTAAATACAACAGAGTTTTAATTCTCAAGAGACACTTTAGAAGAGCGGTTGAAAAATCTCGTAACTACATACAGAGACACAGTAAACTATGTACACAGTTCCTTCGCACCAACTGTGAACTAATATTGGAACTTCCATGAATTAAGTACCTAAGCCTTGAGACGCCACTTTATACGCTGCGCCACAACCGCAGGGAACTTAGACGCGTTCTCCATTTCAATTTAATTGATTACCTAAAATACCTTATGACGCGACGAGGCTGAAGAGGTTAACCTATAATCCCTGAGGCTCTTTTACGGATTCAATCAGCTCGTAAAGAGTGGCGGTGGATAGTTGGACGATTGGTATTTCCGAATATCTACGATTGGGACGTCATTTTATATTGATACTTGAACTAAGAGTAATATCATTATCTCCTTACTGATGGCGACCATCAAAGCCATCGAGGCACGAACTGTAAGTAATCATCTAACCTCTTCTATATTATGTTCATAATATAAATACTGAGTAATTTAGATCCACCAAATTCAATCCGGTCAAGTCATCGTTGATTTATGCTCTGTAGTAAAAGAGTTAGTAGAGAATGGTTTGGATGCTGGAGCCACAAACATTGGTTCGTACTTTATTTACTTATTTGTTATTATATCTCTATTCGTTAACTAACAGGAATTCCACCTAAAAGAGGTTCGATTCAAGAACCAGGGCCTAGATTCCATCGAAGTTCAGGACAATGGTTCAGGCATATCCAAACAGAACTACGAGACATTAGCACTAAAGCATTATACCTCTAAATTATCCACATATGCAGATCTTTCTTCCCTCCAAACATTTGGCTTTCGAGGAGAGGCATTATCATCCCTTTGCGCCTTATCTAAATTCACTGTGACAACCTGCCTAGCATCAGATGCCCCAAAAGGGACGAAGCTGGAATTCGAAACCTCGGGGAAGCTTTGCGGCATGAGTGTAGTAGCTGCCCAGAAAGGAACTACAGTGACTATTGAGGGACTTTTCCACAATCTACCCGTCCGTCGCCGCGAACTGGAGCGGAATATTAAACGGGAGTGGAACAAGGTCATTGGTGTACTCAACCAATATGCCTGTATTCAGACTGGACTCAAATTCTCCGTGTCTCAACAGCCAACCAAGGGCAAGCGGATAGTATTATTTTCCACCAAGGGAAACCAGACAACTCGAGAAAATATTGTTAATGTGTTCGGAGCAAAAACCCTAGCCGTCCTTATTCCCTTAGATCTAAAGCTTGAGTTAGAAGTTACCAGCGCACCAGGCCAAAAATGGAGCGCGCAGGGTGACAGCAGCAACGTTCACGAAATCCATATTAAGGGGCATGTATCTCGTCCTGCCCATGGAGAAGGGCGTCAGACTCCGGATAGGCAGATGTTCTTCGTAAATGGTCGCCCTTGTGGCCTGCCACAATTCGCCAAAGTATTTAATGAGGTATATAAATCTTACAATGCCTCCCAATCTCCCTTTATTTTCGCCGATATTCAACTGGACACTCATCTCTATGATGTTAATGTCAGTCCGGACAAGCGCACGATTCTCCTGCATGATCAAAATCGGATGCTTGACAACCTTAGGGAGTCTCTCGTTGCCTTGTTTGAATCGCAAGACTATGCATTGCCGACATCCCAATTATCAGCTTCAAAACAGACACCTTTCAAAAAGCCTTCGATAAGTGGGCAAAATACCCCACTCTCTGAAACTGTGTCAAAACGTTCCATTTCAGTTGAGAACGAGTCCCGGCAAATTTCAATGTCTATGAATACAGATGATACAGAACATCAGGATGAAGTTGAAGATGACAAGTCTACGAGCGAGTTAGCACCGAAAATCTCAATCTCGACGGAATCACCAACTCCTGATAATCAGGATCTTAATCTAATGAGTCGATGGGTTGAGCGAAAATCAGAATCCCATGCTGATAATCCTTCAACCGCGACCAAGGCCTTAGAAGATGACGGGCCAGATGCTTCAAAGTCGAAAGGACATATATTCTCTAAATTCGCGAAGAGTTATACAGAAGGCGACGTTAATAACTCTGAGAGCAATGCCAGCGGTCCAGCGTCACCTACACTTTCTGAAGAAGAGCCCAGCGAGGAAACAAATTTCCGTGCGCGTTTGGCTGAGTTAAGCAAGACTAAGGCAAACAGACTTGACAATAGTCAGGCATCAAGCACTCGAGAGGTAATTGAACCACCTATACCAGCCGTATCTACCTCATCTCGTGTGTCGGATATCAAGACGAACAGAGTTAGCTCATCTGCGGCTACGAAGCGATCGGCGCCAGAAGTGGCTACGATTACGGTAGGTAACCATACAGTTACCAGCATTATTGGCTCTCCTTCGAAAAAGCAACGAACGGGAGACGATAGGACCCGCGAGCCGTCGACGAGACAACGAGCTTCAAAAGAGGCAACATCGATGCCTTCATTTAACGGACGCTTGACGCAGATGTTTGCGGCCTATTCACAATCGAAGCAAGCCGAGCCGATACATATTAATACCACCCCAGACGCAGCGGATCTTTCGGATGATTCCAGCGAACAGCTATTTGTTGAAGACGATGACGATGAGGAGGACAATCAAGACGGGGAGCCAACTCAGAGCGAAGTAGCTACGGAGAACGTTGAGGAGCAAGGTTACGAATCCGATAACCAACCTCTTGGACCTGAGAGTGTAAATGATCAATTACAAGACGATGTGCCACCATCTCCAAGTCTGTCTCCAGGTGATGGGGATATAGACAAGCAGACTGAAGACACACAAGAGGAAATCGAGTTGGGAGCCACTGCTGTTACTACTCATGGTTCAAAATCTGCCTTATCTGAAGAGACACAGAAACGTACACAAAGCTTCGTGAAGGGCGGTACCAAGAAGAAAGATTCAACTCTCCCTTTACTACAAACACTACGTATAGATGAGCAACATATACGAAGGTCTCTAGCAATATATCAAGAATATCTTGAGGATATCTCATTAGCAACTGGATCTAAGCTTGCCGCGGAAAGACTTGATGCCGAGGACGCCGAGGAGAAATTATCTCTGACGATCTCGAAAGCTGACTTCGGGAAGATGAAGATTATTGGGCAGTTCAACCTAGGCTTCATTATAGCAGTTCGTGCGGCCAAGGTAGACCCTGAGAACACCGAGGAAAGGCGCGATAGAGATGACGAACTTTTCATCATTGATCAACACGCGACAGACGAAAAATACAACTTCGAGCGGCTTCAGGCCAATACTGTTGTGCAGTCTCAAAGGCTAGTCCAGCCCAAGGCATTAGAGCTCACAGCTCTCGAGGAAGAGGTAATTAGAGAGAATCTCGAAGCCCTGGAGGCAAACGGCTTTATCGTAGCCATGGACGAGAGTGGCGATCAGCCGGTAGGATCCCGCTGCCAACTTCTTAGCCTGCCGCTTAGCCGGGAGACAACATTCTCGCTCGCCGACCTCGAGGAGCTAATCTCGATCCTGACGGATCACCAGTCGGCATCAGCAAATTCCATCCCGCGACCCTCTAAGGTCCGCAAGATGTTCGCTATGCGCGCCTGCCGCAGCAGCGTCATGATCGGCAAGTCGCTCACCCTCAAGCAGATGGAGAAGCTAGTCCGCCACATGGGCGAGTTGGATAAGCCGTGGAACTGCCCTCATGGTCGTCCGACGATGCGACATCTGTGCGGTCTCGGCGCGTGGACTGAGATGGCGTGGAGGGAGGGCGACGGGTTCGGCGGCGAGAGGACGCCAAGAACGGATTGGAATGCGTATGTTAAGGAGAAGAATGAGCTGTAGTATGTATCTATGTATCGCTATTCGAGTATTTGGGTTTTAGGACTTTGCATGTATGCTGCATTGGTAGGGCGTATGGCAATGAGGTCTGCTTGCTAGATTTTATGGATATACCCCTGTCAATATAATGCAAGTGTTTACTTGAGAATGTATAATCGATAGTTATTTATTTGCAATACTGTATCTTGGTATTTAACATGGGAAGAACAGGATAGATGGTATGGTATGGTATTAGATTGAATAGATTCTCTCGCCGGTAATTATTCGTCTGTTGGTACCCATCAAAACAGGTCTCTAGATAGTAGTTCTACTGTACAAGAGTTGAATATCACATCTCATTACACTGTTCGCGAGCACTGTTACTTCGGGGAGTATCTCCTATTCATCACAGGTACTATCTTAACCCGTTCTCATTATTGCCATGAAACCGAAACCCTAACCTGACCTGCCAAAATCCAGATCCAGATCCAGTTCCTGTTTCGTTTACCTTAATATTACACATCCGTGAAATCATCATCACATATCAATCGCACCGCCTCCCCCCTTCCTTCCCCTTTCCGGAGAAATCAACAAAAAGTCCAGAGGCCACAACAACTCCAAGCGACCTGCACCGGACCAACCCGCCTACATTTCCAACCAAAATCATTCCACGCTCCCTTTAATCTTCATTCAGAATGCTATACCGCGAATACCTATTCCCTCCTAGCCCCTCCTCCGCAATCTTACCGCTGACATTTCTCTTCCACGTACCCGCGTTCCCACCCCCTAGGTCCCCGTAATCATTACCAGAGGAGACTTGGCGATTGGCCCCTGTTTTCGCCGCCCCTCCTCCGAGCATAACGGGTGGCGTAGCGGGCTTTAGTTCGCCGTATGGCTTAGCGTAGAAATCGCCATCCGGCTGAATAGACGAGTCCCTATTGCGCGCACCGCCCGCGCCGCCACTCTTAGGCACGATCAAGCTGCGGCGCCAGAACGACGGGGCTCGCGCTGGACTGGCCTTCTCGTCCACGATATCCTGGCTACCGCTCACGCTACGCGCGTTGTGGCTGACTTCTGAGAGCGGCTCGAACGGCATCTTCTGTCTACCTGCGATATCTCTGCCTTGCACGATCTGCGGCTGCCCCTGGGGAGTCGGGTTCAAGCGCAGCGGGTTCGGGCGCAAGTGACCCATGACGTCGATGGGGCTGCTAGGGACATCGTCGGCCTCGAGGTCGGAATCGTCAGGGCGCATCATGTCGTTATTCTCGCGGTCTGAGTCGTCGTCTGAGTCGTCGAAGTTGTATCGTTGGTTCACGGCCTCGTACTGCTGGGACTGGGACTTGCGCTCACGCTCGGCGATTTTGAGCGCGCGCTGCCGCTCTTGCGTGCGGTTGATAAGAGATTCGGAGGCGTACCATGCTTCGGTGAACTTGGCGATGCGGGTTGGCGAGGCGTTAGTGGGTTGGTGGGGAGAGGGGGTTGGCGCGATGATGATGCTGCTAGGTCGAGATGGGGATGGCGATGCTGCGCCGGTCTCATGCAGCGGGACCTCGGTATAGCTGGCGCGCTGGGCGACTCGTGGGGTGGACAGGCGTTTCAATTCCGCAACACTATTGCGGGGAGAGTTGCCCGGTGTGATCTGGTATTGTCTGCTAGGGAGGTCGCTTCGCGAGTCGCGCTTCGACGAAGCAAAAGAGTCTCGGGAACCGGTGCGCGTGTGCATGAACGGAATACTAGGTGGTCGCGAAAGGGCCTCATGAGGAACACCCGAGTGGCGGTAGCTTTCGAGGGGTGAATCAAGACGATTGGAGTCATCCGAGACCGCAGTGTAGCTAGTTGCGACAGACGACTTGTTGCGCTTGTGCTGTTTGACGCGAGAGGTGAGATGGTCTTCCAATGGGTTGAAGTCCGGTGGCATGTTAGCGATTCTTCGGAACATCAGACATAACCAGACCGATATGCAGAGCGAAACGACGTGTAGGCTACCGGCGCAGATGAGCGCGAAGTACTCGCTCTGAATAAGGTAGTCGGTAAGTTCGGGCGAAGCCGTGATAATGAGTTCCCAGTCCTTTCCGTGGTTGACAACGGAGATGACACCGAAGGCGTATAGCGGTATAACAGCTAAGTCCGTGACACTGGCGAACATCTGATAAGCTGCTGATGAACCGGGTGGTCTTGACCCGGCGGGTCTTATGAGATGCCAGATGGCGTAGACACAACTAATGGCTACAACACCAGGCTAGATATTACAGGTGAGTGAGGAATTCTAATATAAGCGACTAAGGCATGTAAGACGTACAGTAATTCTCATAACCCATGAAGTGAGAGAATCAACATTAGAGATCAGTATCATGAGGACGAGTAAACAACCGCCTCCAATCATCTCCAGGATGCGAAGGAATAATTGAACATATCTCATAAACTTGATCCACCACTTCGTAGTGCTGCTCATAGGCTTGAACATTGAAGTGCGGCCAGTCGGCACGACATGCGCACTTAGATAGATTAGCCATAATACTCATGCGTGCCAGTTATTTAAGTTGCGACTTACTCAGGATGTCGGCTGAAGGCTATGAATGGGCCTTTCTGCTTCTTTTTCTTAGGTTTCGGTTCCCAGCTTGCCCTCGTGATGACCTTGGGATCGAATGGTTTCTCGGGGGATCGAGAGTCGCGCCTTTCGGCATCGTACAAGTAGGGTTGTTGAGCGCCCATATCTGCAAACGTCTCACTCTAGCTGGCGAGGCTGAGAGACATTCATTGATAGGTGAGAGGGCAGGATTGGATCGACAGTTTTAACTGGAATGTATGATCTTATGATTGCGAAAAAGGTGGGAGCGCCATGATGTGGGGAAGAAAAGAAGGTGGGATGTGTTCATGTAAAGGTATGTATACAATACAAATACAACATATGCAGGTACATAACGAAATGACGGGGTTGTGTATCGTGGGTTGAGAAACCGGGATGTTGTCGTTTCCACAGCAACGGGCGGTAGAATAAATCCTATTGGAACATCAGCTGTTATCTTCTTAGATTATGATGCGGCTTCGCGTCGGGTAATATTACTACGTTGCGCAATTTGAACGATAATCATTTCGATTAGCTAACTTGTTCGATTAGACACCTATAAATAAATCATGTATGTGATGTGATGTGATGTTATGTTATGTAAACTAAGACTAAAAGTTGTTGCTCGAGTCCGTCGACTTCTTCCATGTCAATCGGCAAACGGCCGCGGACGGCGATGTCGGACCTCGGAGCACCGAGAAGACCAAAATTTCAATTCGACGTCATTTTGCGACTTCTTGACCAGTGACTATTTTCATACAACACTTTATAATTTTAGAGATGTGATAGCAATATTACCTTTTATTAATATTATAAACCATGAGACTTCTAGCAAATTCATGGCTCTGCGCAACCTGTCGGCGTAGAAATTCTGCATCCCTTGCCATTAGAATATCACATTATTCGACTGCAAGTCGACATGATAGGCCCCTCCGAATGGCCGTAGTTGGCTCCGGTCCGGCCGGCTTCTATACGGCATACCGGGTCATGTCCAAGGTACCGAAAACCAAGGTTGATATGTTCGAAGCGTTGCCTGTGCCATACGGTCTAGTGAGATTCGGCGTTGCGCCAGATCATCCTGAAGTCAAGGTATGAATTAATAAATGCATTATATATATCAATGTAATGAACAATATTTAATAATTTATGAGTATAGAACTGTCAAGAAAAATTCCAAGAAGTTGCAAGCTCTCCTGATTTTACATTTATTGGGAATGTCTCCATCGGCAATACAGGCGGACACTTCAGATGCTGCACAATTCCTTTGGCCTCTATGATGCATCACTACGATGCTGTTGTATTTGCCTATGGTGCATCTAAAGACAAGCGCCTCGGAATCCCTGGTGAATCTGAGCTGCAGGGCATCTACTCGGCCCGCGAGTTTGTAGGCTGGTATAATGGTCTACCAGAATACGCAGACCTCGCACCGGATCTCACTAAAGGAGACGAGGCTGTTATCATTGGTCAAGGAAATGTTGCCCTTGATGTTGCTAGGATGCTGTTAGAGAATGTAGATAGACTACGAAAATCAGATATAACAGAGGCGGCTATCGAAACCCTGTTAAAGAGCCGCGTCAAACGAGTTCATATTGTGGGAAGAAGGGGACCAATGCAGGTGCGTTCAAAAATATCGACAAAGACTCTAATTGAGTACTAATTATACCCCTAGGCTGCTTTCACCATCAAGGAAATCCGGGAACTAATGAAACTTCACGGGGTTGCTTTTCATGACATCGATATGTCGCTCATCCCGGATGAGATCTCGAAGCTGCCTCGAGCTCGACGAAGACTCATGGAAATAATGATGAAAGGTTCAACGGCTCGGTTAGAAGAGGCTGCTAAGTCATGGTCCTTGGACTTTTGTTTATCTCCAACTGAATTTCTTGGTCGACCCGATGGAAATATCGAAAGTACGGTGTTTGAACGAACATCACTAGCGTCGCCCTTTGACTCGTCCTCGAGTGTTGTTGGCACTGGCGAGAAAGTAACGATACCATCTTCTATAGCGTTCCGTTCCATTGGTTATAAATCTGTTGCTCTTCCTGGATTTGACGAGGCGGGCATCTCATTTGATGATAGAAAGGGGATTATTGACAATGATGGAATGGGGCGGGTATTGCAAGTGAAAGGTGACGAAGGTAGCACTCAGCACCCATTGCATTTGCCTGGGGTTTATTGCGCTGGCTGGGTAAAGAGAGGCCCAACAGGTGTCATTGCGTCGACTATGGAGGACGCATTTTCTACTGGCGATGCAATTGCCTCCGATTGGAATTCTGATGCCCCATTCCTTAAAGGGGAAAGCAGCTCTGGCTGGGAAGCCTTACGGGCAGGGGTAGAGCATGGCAAATGCAGGGTTATCCAGTGGGACGACTGGCGGAAGATAGACAAGGCAGAAAGAGAGCGGGGTCTGCTACTAGGAAAAAAACGAGAGAAGTTCACGAGCACAACGGAAATGATATCTGCAGCTGGAAACTAGACTAACCTAGAGAGATACCCTTGCGGGCGGTTGTAAATATTGTATTTATATACTTATATATCCATTTATGAGCTCTTCAGCTTCTCTGTTAATTCGGGGACCTTATCGAATAAATCCCCGACTAAACCCACGTCTGCTACTTGGAATATCGGCGCCTCGGCGTCCTTGTTGATCGCTGCAATCACCTTGCTGTCCTTCATACCCGCTAGATGCTGGATGGCACCGGAAATTCCAACGGCAAGGTATAATTGAGGAGCAACCACCTTACCCGTCTGTCCAACCTGAAGACTGTTGTCGGCATATCCGCTATCTACCGCGGCGCGAGAAGCACCAACTGCAGCGCCTAACGAGTCTGCAAGCGGGAGCATGATCTTATCGAAGTCTTCCTTCGATTTTAGACCTCTACCTCCAGAGACAACTTTACCAGCGGTCGCTAGGTCTGGCCTGTCTGATTTGGCTAGATCTTCGGAAACCCACTCTACGGAAATTTCCACGTTAGGGTCAACGCCATCTTCTATAGTTGCGGAACCGCCCTGTGCTTCGGCGGCGGGGAAAGCCGTGCCACGAATAGTAATAACTTTGATTGGATCGGAGGACTCAACAGTCGCAATGGCGTTGCCGGCGTAAATTGGGCGCACAAAGGTATTCTCGTTTTCAATGCCAGTTATGTCTGATATTTGTTGGGAGTCGAGAAGTGCGGCGACCCGCGGTAATAAGCTCTTCCCAAAAGCAGTGTGTCCTGCGATAATATGAGTGTAGCCGCCCTTCTTGATATTCTCGACTAATAGCGGCGCAAAGTTCTCTGGGAGACCCTGTAATTTAACGAACGTTAACTTCTAGACTTGCAACTCAATTGAATAGTATATCTGTATTTGCCTACCTTGTCGTAAGCAGCGTTGTCCACCGCGATTATCTTTTCGACGCCTTCTACTTTGGCCGCCTCCTCTGCTACGGGCTTTATATTGCTTCCGGCGACGAATCCATGTATCGATCCCCCAAGCTTCTTAGCGGCTGTAATTGCGCTCAAGGAACCGTGGTTGAGCTTCCCATCGCGCTGTTCTAGAACAGCCAATGACGATAATAATCTTCGAAGGGCCGAGGGACTATTGATGTTGAAGGGACTCGAAAACACAGAAGTAGAGCGCGGCAAGCTGCCGACGCCTCTAAGAACTGTTCGGCTCGTTGTAGAGAAAAGCATTGTGTTTTGCGACTGAAGTTTGGCAAGTTTCTCGCGATGGAAACCAGCCTACTACAATTCGTCTAAGTCTAAAGAACCTCGTCATAAATTCGGTTGTTCACGGCTTCCACCGAGGTAAGAATAATCTATGCATTCGGACCCGATAGCGGAAGTCTATGCATGTCTATGCATGTATCTATTATAAATATGTATAAATCGGGATTGAGTTAACATTTGAATATTAATAAGATAAGTCACGTGAGATATATGGCACTCTAGCACTACCTTACCTAGGTTAGGTAATCTTTATGCCGACGCTTTGACCAAGTATCACACTTGCCCAGCCTCTTGCCAGCCGCCAACCAAATTTACTGCTTTCCCAGCTTTGCCAGTTGGTTCCCTTTAGTCGCGCCAAATTATTTCTCCAAACACGCGGTCGACCCAGCTCATCGCATAGGACGTATCCAATGAATTAATATTCATCAACGTCCTAACAACTTGTCAAAGCGCAATCTTCAATTAAATTCTTTCCACTCTTTAATAAATTCCCACAAATCGTCGCAGCTAAAATTAAGACTGTTGCGATACGTCGCGTCAGTTTCTTTTTTCCTTTTCGAAACTGATATAATCACATACCAAAGTCTTTCCCCCCTTCGAACGTTTGGTAGTTGGAAATTCGAATTCGCATCCGCACTTTCCTTCAAGATGGAAGGCGAACACGCCAACTATGGCTCACCAGCCAATGCAGCAACTCCGGGTAGTAACCCGATCCTAGCGCAACCGCCCATTCAGTCTAATGTGTCGGGTGCGCCTCAAAGCTCTGAAGGTAAGTTAAGATAACTGTCATAGCCTTATTGTATGTCTAATATATGTCGATGCTAATGCGCGGATTAGATGTGCAAATGTCCGAAATTCCCTCCGCAGACCCCATCATCAAGCAAGATAGCACTACTCCTGCACCTGCTGGTACTTCAGATAACCCACTTGATGCCCCTCCTGCACCGCCTGCTGAAACTACCCTAGCTAAGGATGATGAGGAAATGGGCGACGCTCAGGCTGAACCTCGGGATGGACGTCCCCAAGACAAGGACGTCGAAGATGCAGCCGCTGCCGGTGACGGTAACGCTCAGGAGGTGAAGTCAAAGGAAAGCATCGAGAATGCCGCGCGCGAACATCTTATCTCCCAAACCCACGCAATTGTTCTACCTAGTTATAGTACCTGGTTCGATATGAACGCGATTCACAGCATCGAACGGAAAGCTCTCCCCGAATTCTTCAACAGTCGGAACCGAAGCAAGACCCCCGCCGTATACAAGGATTACCGCGATTTTATGATTAACACCTACCGGTTGAATCCCGTTGAATACCTGACCGTAACTGCGTGTAGGCGAAACTTGGCTGGCGACGTTTGCGCCATCATGCGCGTCCACGCGTTTCTAGAGCAATGGGGATTGATTAATTACCAAGTACTACCTAACTGTCTTTTATATAATAGTATCGACTTTCTAACAAGTTACAGGTTGATGCGGATCAACGCCCATCTCAAGTCGGCCCGCCCTTCACAGGCCATTTTCAAGTCATCTGTGATACCCCTCGTGGGCTCCAACCCTGGCAACCCTCGGCCGATCCGATCGTACTTGAAGGCAAAAAGAACCAGAATACCGATCAAAAGGTCAATGCTGCTGCTACTGCCGCGGGCGAGCGAAACCTTGAGATTGGTCGCAACATCTACGAGGCTAACGCGAAGGGGGCGAAACTTAACAAGTCCGAGAGCAAGCCTAATGGCGAGGCCACCACCAACGGTGCAACATCTCCAGTACCTGATGACAACCTGAGCAAACCCATCGCTAAGGTGCACTGCTACAACTGCGGTATCGACTGCACTCGACTCTATTATCATCTGCCGGAGGCCAATTCCACTAATAAGGCGAAGTGTGACTTGTGTTCCAGCTGTTTTGTGGAAGGCCGGATACCTGGAAATCAATCCAATACCCAATTTGTTCAAATAGAGAACAAAACTTATTCCTCCGTTCTCGATCGCGACGCCCCATGGACAGACGCCGAGGTCCTTCGACTTCTTGAGGCCTTAGAGAGATATGATGATGACTGGGCTGAGATTGCAGCGCACGTAGGCACGCGAACCCGAGAGGAGTGTGTTTTACAATTCCTCCAGTTAGATATTGAGGACAAGTATCTCGAGACGGAAGCTCCTATTCATGCTCCTACTGGTCTTGCTATGCTCGGAAAGCATGGCGGACATCTTCCTTTCAGTCAGGCTGATAACCCAGTCATGTCTGTTATTGGATTCCTCGCTAGCCTCGCAGATCCTAAGACAACAGCCGCAGCAGCGAAGAAATCTGTGGAACAACTCCAAGAGGGCTTACGGAATAAGATTGAGGGCAGTGACGCGGCTAAGGTTAACGGAAAGGGGAAAGGGAAGGAGGGTGACTCAATGGAAGTAGACGGTCACGAAGAGAATGCCGGCACTGCTGCGTCTGACTTGGCTAGCATACCGCTTGCCGCCATGGGCGCGCGTGCAGGTGGCCTAGCTTCGCACGAGGAGCGAGAGATGACGAGACTCCTCTCTGCCGCAGTAAACGTCACCCTACAAAAAATGGAGCTGAAGCTAAAGTATTTCGACGAGATGGAGGGTATTCTACAGGCAGAGCGACGCGAATTAGAGCGGGGCAGGCAGCAACTCTTCCTCGACCGACTTGCCTTTAAGAAGCGGGTACGGGAAACACAAGCAGGCCTTAAGTCGGCTAGCATGAACGGTGACGTTAAGTCTGATGGCAGCGGTCTCACATTCACCTCAGCTCCTCCGTTAAGCGCTGTCCAACCACTGGGTAGCGACGGTAATATCAAGAGCTACGAAGCCTAATTTATTTTTCCATTTGGGAGGGGTTAACTCCGCGCTAAGCTGCGTAAGAGAACGTTGTTGAATTTTTAATCGTGGCGAATTTAGGCATCCTAAAGGGACTTTGATTTGACTATTGCGAGCCGCTGGCTCCCGTGGGCGTCAATGGAATAGGGTTTCTCACTATTTGCTTTTGCTTGGTTGTCTTTTCTTTTTCCCTCTGAAAATAAAGTTCTCCTACCCTCTGAATGAAGAACAACATTCTTGGGGGGAAAGTAAGAGAATGGAAGAAGAAGGAAGAGGGTATAGTGTCTTGCACTTGCATAGTGACGGTGAAGACCCCCGTGTATACTACGAGTACTACGAACTGCTACTCATAAATGGGACCCGTCTATGGGAAATGGAAAAGAGAAAGAGATACATAGTAATGAATTCCTAGATGATGTAAGTGGTCTATAGGTATTGCATGTGTATATTTCTTTAAGAGAGCTTGACTATCTGGCAATCCTCTAATATCTCCTACCAAGGTATTCGCACAACACTTAAGACACCCCTATACGTAGGCAGATAGACTACTATGCCATACCGTTCTCGTTACATACAAACCAGCTTCTTAGCCTCTAGCATTCGAATCCCCCGCAACCGTTATCTTCCCTCTCGTAACCTCCCACTCGCTATAATACTCAATATGATCCCTCCAATTCGCGCCTAGATCCACCAAACCCGACCGCCTTCCCGTCTCCGGCCCCCCTTCCCCTTTCTTCTCATCTCCACCCTCCTGCTCGTCTTCTTCCTCTACTTTCACCCTGCCCCTCCCATCATACACCACCCTCCACAACCGCGCCTCCTCCTTACCCGCGGCCTGCGCGTCTGCATGCTCTGCATCCGCCCATAGTTCGTGCTCCATGCGGATGCGGGCGCGCAGCGCGTCGCGCGAGCGTGCGGTTGTGGTGTGGTCGTAGGTTGCCGTGTAGGTGAGGGCTTCTTGGAGGTCTTGGGCTAGAGCTGGGGAGTCTTCTTCTTCCGAGGGGTCTTTCATGGGGATATCAGAATCGGCGTGGGCATGGGTGTCGGAGTCGGAGTCGGAGTCGGGAGCTGAGTCTGAGTCTGAGAACGAGGGCTCGGAGGAATTGGAGGATATTTCAGGGAGGTCGGTGGGGAATTCTTGCGTTGGATGGGAGATGGGGGGGAAGCCTAGGGCGGTCTCGACTTTATCGTAGGGCATTGGGGGGGACTCGGAGATGGATGAGGTGTCTGTTCTATTATAGTCTGTTTCGGAGGGGGCATTGGGTTCTTCTTCCTCCCGTCCGCTTCCGTCACTTTCAGATATGTTTTCGACTTCGGTATCTATATCTTCATTGTCGTTTCCTTCATTGCTAGATAAATACTCCTGATCTGTCATCCCTAATACGTCTTCACTTTCATCGTCCTGCTCGTCATCGTATACATCAAGCCGTAGCCTGCGTGCGGCTCGTGCCCAGAATTGACGGCTGCTCTCCGGCATGCCGATTGATGCTACGGCGGCCTGTACGTCTTTGATCTTAACGAGGCCCCCTGTACGGTTGCGGCGGTCTCCAGCACGCTTTGCGCGCACCCGGGAGCTCGCTACGTAGAGTGTTGCGCTCACGAGCCGTCGTGTAACGCTTAACGCTAACGAGTGAAAATCCGCGAGCGCCGTGGCTCGGATTGAGGGCGGCTCCTCCGATACGCCGCGCCAGTTACCGTCCGGGACCACGGATGAGTTCATGAAGACGCGCTCTGAGAGCCGTAGCCAGTTGCGCAGGATGAAAAGCTCTGCAAATGGAGGAAGGTCTTTTGTCTCTGCCGTCGCACTATTGCCGTTGTTATTGCTACGGCTGCTGTTGGCACGCTGCTGGCTTTCGAGCAGCCGTGCTAGTTGCGCCGTAATTAGCCACCGACCCTGCCAGCGCTTCTGCTCTAGCGCTATCTCGTGCCTCTCGCATCGTAGCGCGATACCATCCGCCGCCTGCTCCAAGGCCGCACACAATTCCGTACTGAGTTCTGTCGCGGAAGGTACATCGACAGGGCGTAACGCCCGCTGTCTCTTACCGTCATGCTCGCGGCGAGTACGCTCTGCCTCATCAAGCAGCACCAAGTACTGCTGGACTTCGAGAGGGCTCTTAGTGCCGACCCTCGCCGCGATGCTAGCAATGTCATCACGCCCTAATCGCGCCAGAGCCGAGAAGAAGACGTGCTTCTCGGAAGGAGTCCACGACACGATGCCGATCTGGGCCGGCCCTAGGTCCAGAGGTTCGTCTCGGATGATACCCGCTGCGGCATCGCCAATTTCCTCGTTAAGAATGTTGAGATACTGGGGGTTGAAGACTCCCTTTTGTCGCTTAGGTAGCGATACTGTAGGGGATGGTTCTGCTGTCTTGAGACGGCGCTTGCGTATACTCTCCCCGAGTCGAGACGACGGTAGGGACGGAGGTTGAGGAGGCTGAGCGTCGGATTCACTGCTTGCGGGACGATACTCGGGATCGTCATCTGAATCCATATCTGGGTATGTAGGCTATAGTCGCGAACTATAAGTCCAATCAAGGTTGTTGTAAGTCGACCTTTAAGACCTCTAATAGGGGGAGATGCATAGGATGTATATATGCAACTATCCGTATTTTTGAGAAGTTGGTGGAAAGATCACTCCTAGTTTCATAAATTATGAAGCTTGGTTGAGAATAATAGAGATATATCAAAATCCTTTTGAGATATTCTTTTAATATATTAGGCTCGTAAGGTTTAATTTGAGATGCTGTTCAGCTGCGGTGATATGTAGATGTGAAGATTGGGTAGTGTGAAGTTCTAAGGTTTTTTGTTAAGATGCTAAGTCCCGATAACTTGTTATTTGAAAAGATATGTTTAATTACATATGCAGTTCCACCTAAAAGTTTGAGAGGTTCAAAGGCAACTTAACAACTTAAGACTCAAAGCCTCGAAATCTCGTCTCAAACATTTATCGCAACCATCGTTGTGCAGATATGCCATGCTACCTCTGACCACGAGATGGCTATTCTCAGTGAGACCCGTACGGCGGTTTTCGCTAACGGGGTGCTATCGATACAATTTTTCTACGTCCCTAACAGCCCGTGCAGCTGAGATTCCTAACACTCCTAACACTCCTAACGCTCCTAGCGCTCCTAACCTATTCCAAGGTATTCGCCTTCGTGATTATCAAGAAGAATGTATCCAAGCTGTCTTGAATTCGCTCGAAAATGGCCATAAGCGATTAGGAATATCATTGGCTACTGGCGCCGGGAAAACCGTCATATTCACTCAGTTGATTGATCGGATCAAGAACGATTCAAATGAAGCCAGCCAGACACTGATCCTGGCTCACAGGCGAGAACTTGTTGAGCAAGCAGCTCGCCACTGCACCTCTGCTTATCCGCACAAAACGGTGGAAATAGAAATGGGCAACATACGTGCCTCGGGAACTGCAGATATCACCATCGCTAGTATACAGAGTATCAACTCCAGTGATCGCATCTACAAGTTCGATCCTAAACGGTTTAAGCTCGTACTTGTCGACGAAGCACACCATATAGTTGCGCCTGGGTACTTGAGGACCCTAGAGCACTTCGGCCTTGACCAAAAGAGAAACGATTCGCCAGCACTTGTCGGTGTATCTGCGACTCTTTCTCGGACCGATGGCCTTCGGTTGGGTGCTGCAATTGATGAGATAGTTTATCATAAAGACTATGTTGATATGATAGGGGATAAATGGTTGTCAGACGTCGTTTTTACTACGGTCGAGTCGACTGCCGATGTCTCACAGGTCAAAACCGGCAACAGTGGGGACTTTCAAACTCGTGAATTGTCTAAGGTGGTAAATACAAAACAAGTGAACGAAATTACTGTTCGCAGTTGGCTCGCAAAAGCTTCAGGGAGGAAGTCTACCTTGGTTTTCTGCGTGGATCTTTCACATATCGATGGATTGACTGAAACATTCCGCCGATTTGGTATCGATGCTAGGTTCGTGACGGGAGATACTCCAAAAGTCGAAAGAGGCAAAATCCTTGATGCTTTTCGACGCCAAGAATTCCCGGTGCTTATCAACTGCGGCGTCTTTACTGAAGGAACCGATATTCCTAATATTGACTGCGTTATTCTCGCACGACCGACTCGCTCCCGTAATCTATTGGTGCAGATGATAGGAAGAGGCATGCGGCTTCATCCAGACAAGACCGATTGCCATATCATCGACATGGTCTCGAGTCTGTCCATCGGCATAGTGACGACACCCACTTTATTCGGCCTCGACCCGTCTGAGTTGGTAGAGAAAGCAACCGTGAACGACATGGCACGCTTGAAGAGCAGCAGAGAAACTGAAGACGTTAAAATTTCTCGCAATATTAATTTTGTAGAATATGATTCGGTCTTCGACTTAATCGCAGATACATCCGGCGAGAGGCATATCCGGGCAATCAGTCAGAATTCATGGGTACAAGTTGGACAGGACAAGTGGGTGCTATGTGGCCCGGGCGGAACCTATATCCGATTGGAAAAGGGGAAACCACCAAAAAGTAAAGAGGATGAATTTGTAGCCTGGGAAGTCCGAGCTCTTCCCGCAGGCGTGTCGAAGTCTCGATATGCTTCACCTCGACGATTACTCAACACATCTACCTTCGCCGATGCCGTCCACGGCTGTGACAAATACGCATCTGAACAGTATCCCCGTCTTCTTATCTCGAGACACCAGCGCTGGCGTAACGGACCACCTACAGATGGCCAACTGGACTTCCTAAACAGGCTACGTAGGGAGGATGATAAACTAACGGCAACCGATATCACAAAAGGCAAGGCCGCAGATATGATAACTAAAATACGTCACGGCGCCCGAGGTCGCTTTGCTGCCCTTGACGCTGACCGAAGACGAAAGGAGAAGCGTGAGAGTTTAGGGCGGGAGAAAGAAAGAACGATGCATATTCGGGAGCTGGTGTCTGTTGGACCTCTATCAGCCTGACTCCGTATTTGATACCTACTTCCTATGCACTTCAACCACAATCATCCCAACTCAACCAGCATTTAACAATGCGTCAGTCATATCTCCTTCAAGCAAGTCTCTCAATAGTCATAGGCATTGTGTCAATATGGATTAATACTTATCAGATAATCATATGTCTGTCCGATGACCACCCTACTGATTCACATCCAACGATTCACATCTACGGTTTGTGGCGTACATTAGATCTAGAGTCATTTTCTTATGTGAAGTTTGCTATGGAGCTCTTGACAGACTCTATGTTATATATAAATAATTTATTCAAGATGTTATTCTCTTTCTCCCATACTTGGTATACGCCTCTTATTCTAGTCCTAAAAATAATCTCAAGCGTGCCCATCACTATGGGAAAAAAGGACAACAATGCCATTCGGCGTCAAGCCCAACACCCACCGCGGTATACTCTAAACCCTTTTCTCATGGTTATGGGATTTATGAATCCTTTACGCGCTCAACCACCACCAAGACACTCAAGGACACTATGGCCCGAACCGATGCACCTGCCTCAAACTACGGGCAGGCAGGTAAAAGAAGGCTTGGACACTATAAATGTCAAGGACGATATACCGAATAGCGCAAAAACAGAAACTACTATAGACTCAAACAATAGTCCCAACGGCGGGCCCCCTATTTGCCGCAATGCCCTTTCTAAAAATACCCCTCCACCACTACATCATTCCTACTCTTTTTGCCTACACGTCGTCGAATGGAGAGCATTCCCGCCAGAAGTTGTTCCAAGATTTGATCTAACAAACTCTTCAACATTATCTGAGGAAAAATTACTGGATATTGAAAGACTTACTAATAGATATCTTACACAATCCGTAACTTTTCGAAAGTGGGTAAACCAAAAGAACAAGGAACTAGACTCACTTAGCAGTATGGAACAACATGACGAGAATATCGAAGACGAAATATTGACCGATATTACGCTAACTAACGCCGAGAAAAGACAAGCAGTCATTCACGAAATCGAGGAGACCTATGCTGCACTTGTGGATACCGAGACTATCGAGGCTCAAGTATCCGCCCGCCGTCAAGCTTCAGAGACCCTACAGCGCCAACGAAGATTGCCGTTGACAGCAGCTAAGCGCTTGTTGGGATCAGATGGATCATCATTCAATAACCATGGCGTGACCAAAGAGAAGCACCTATACATTGTCGGCTCGCCCCAAAATTTGGTCAGACTTCCTTTCGACCAGGCCGTAGATGCTGGTCTTGAGATTATTCATCCTCCTAAACAATATGCATCTCCATATTTACCAGGCACTCTTCATACGCTGTCACCTCCCCTACAAAAATCTACATCGGACGCGCCTTTATCTGGTCCCCCTACGAGTTCAAGACGCAACCTCCATATTCCAGAATGGTTCGAGCATTTTAAAATGCCCCTAAAAGGAAGAAATCGCGAGGCTAGATGGAACGATCTATTAAGCCGTATCTATACACTGGAGACAAAAATCAGACATGGTAGCGACGATGAAGCATCGGAGAAGTCTCCCTGGGATAAGAAATGGCATGAGCCTAATAAGAAATGGCCCTTTGCCCACCGGCGGGAGCACGGTGGCTGGTGGAAATGCAGGTCCGGTCGCGACGCCCCGGAGGCAGAGAGGAGATGTTGGTTATGTCACGGCCAGCCCGAAACCCCAGAGCAGGCGGCGGAAGAACGCAGTGCAAAGGAGAAACTCGACGAGCTTCAGAGCGCTATAGATGAGGCGATGACCGTAGTTGGTGAGAAGGATAAAGCTATTGCATTGGAGATGCTGCGCCAGGGAGATGCCTTCCACTAAATATGGAGGACAGTGTTATAGCGTTCTCTGATGGTGTCGGTTTTGTATATGAAGCCTCCGCTAGGAAAGGACTGGCCATGACTTCATAACCTTACCAGGGTACTCTTATTGCCAATATCATTTTTGGCGTTTGGGGGTATCATAACAGCGCTGGAAAATTTCCATTTCCATGGCAGCATTGGTTTATTCAGGGGTAGGATACTGGCGTAGATGTGGTTAGCCTTAGGAGTAACGGATATTGGTGGATGTGTATTTTTTCTGAATTAGGCGTATACTCTTATAGTACCCCTTAATTTATTGAACGCTATCTAAATTCTATAGGGTTATGATTTGCATTTGGTATGGAGAAGTATTTCGAGTATAAACAATGATTTATCAAAATTTACTTTAATGATCTTTACACGTTTCGAACTGAGTAAAGTTAAGATTCGAATGGTTTATCTTCAGTCGAACCCCGTATATGGGCAAGTATATGCATACAACGAAATTTGCGACGGTTTGATATGCGCTAAATTACATAAGATACGGTATCCATAGTATCTTCTAGTGACCACTGGCTATTAACGGGTTTAACCTATTTGGGCAATGGTTACCTCCGCTATCCCGCAGCCGTGGTTAGAGCGAGAGGGCAGCTTAGCAAGCGATGATGTATTTCGATAAAATACGCTCGAGCTCTACTCCAATTACTAAGATTAAGGCGATAGTTAATCGAAGTTATCGTCTAGATTTTCAGTCGAGGCAACGGCCATTCTTAGGAATTATTTCCATAAGGCCTATTAGCCATAATATCTGTATTTTAGTCATCACTTCCCTTTTTTTACCCTTTTTTAATCAGAGACTGGTGGGAAACTTTTCTGCAAGTGCAAACTTGCATTATACTAAAGCTCCGGTCTTCCCCCCGGCTATATCACCGTCGACTCGACCAAATTTTCCCTTATAACCTTCTCGACGATGCTGTGTCGACAACGCCTGTCACGACAACTTGTCGTGAGGGGCCCCTCTAGTTTTGCATCGAGGCTCCGACCCTCTTTAGCATCACGTCATTACTCAATAAATAATACTAGTAACTCGATCGACTCCACGATCGCACGTCCAAGACAAACGATAGCCTCGAGACATAACGCTTTACTGAGGACAACCTTTTCTACCTCGTCCATTGCTAGGAAAGATAAAAAGGACAATGGCTTTTTCGATGGGTCTGTAGAGCCGTTGTCAGAAGAAGAGGCGAAGGCGAATTCAGAGAAAAAGACGGAGGAATCAAAAGATGAAGTGAGCGAAGCTAAAAGTTCCAATGCAGACTCGCCACCGTCTGGCAAGAACCAAGGTAGTCAAAGTGAATCGCAGGATGGCAAGGCAAGCAGCGCAGCGGGGGGCGCATCGTCCGGGTCTGGTGGTGATGCGCCTGGAGACGGAGGTCGAAGAGGTCGAAGGTCGGGAGCCGACAAAGCTTTACAGAAACCCGTCGTACCCGACGTATATCCCCAAGTTATGGCCATACCAATAGCGAAGCGACCTCTATTCCCAGGTTTCTATAAGGCGATCACGATTAAGGATCCGAATGTCTCTGCTGCAATAATGGAAATGATCAAGCGAGGTCAACCTTACGTTGGCGCATTCTTATTTAAAGATGAGAACGCCGACGAGGATGTAATTAGGGACCCGTCTGATGTCTACGATACTGGTGTTTTTGCGCAGGTCACGAGCGCCTTCCCGGTACACGGAGAACAAAATAGCCTCACGGCTATCTTATACCCTCATCGCCGAATAAAGCTATCTACTCTCATACCCCCCAGTACTAGTGAGCCTAAGAAGGCTGATCCTGAAACTGAACCTACACCTGAACCAATACCGCCTAAAACAGAAGAAGAACCACAGCAAGAAAAGAAGGGCGATGTAGTCGCCAGCTTCGAGGAGAGTGCTGTCACCCCGAAATCTGATTCTGCGACGGAGAAATATGAACCAACATCATTCCTACGAAAGTATCCAGTCAGCCTTGTAAACGTGGAGAACCTATCTGAAGAGCCGTTTGATCCAAAAAGCCCTGTCATCCGAGCGGTGACAAACGAAATCGTGAATGTCTTCAAGGAAGTCGCTTCAATGAACAGCTTATTTAGGGATCAAATATCGACTTTCTCCATGAGTCAATCGACAGGAAATGTTATGGCAGAACCGGCAAAGTTAGCTGATTTTGCTGCGGCGGTATCTGCTGGGGAGCCCGCAGAACTACAGGAGGTCCTTGCTAGCCTCAACGTCGAGGAACGAATGCAAAAGGCTTTAGTCGTACTGAAGAAAGAACTGATGAATGCCCAGCTTCAATCAAAGATCACTAAGGATGTAGAACAGAAGATTACGAAGCGACAACGGGAATACTGGCTAATGGAACAGATGAAAGGAATTCGCCGTGAACTAGGTATCGAGTCCGATGGTAAGGATAAACTGGTAGAGAAGTTCAAGGAGAAGGCCGACAAGCTAGCGATGCCCGAAGGCGTTCGGAAAGTGTTTGACGACGAAATTAACAAGCTCGCCCATCTCGAACCTGCCGCCTCTGAATTCAACGTAACGAGGAACTATTTGGACTGGTTGACACAGATCCCCTGGGGACAACGGAGCGCAGAAAATTTCGGAATTCAGAATGCGATGAAAGTACTAGATGAGGATCATTACGGCTTGAAAGACGTCAAGGATCGTATCCTAGAGTTCATCGCAGTTGGTAAGCTCCGAGGCACTGTCGAGGGTAAGATCTTATGTTTCGTGGGACCTCCTGGCGTTGGCAAGACCAGCATAGGCAAGTCAATTGCCAGGGCTCTGAACCGACAGTACTACAGATTCAGCGTGGGAGGCCTCACAGATGTGGCTGAAATAAAAGGTCATCGGCGGACTTATGTTGGTGCACTACCTGGACGAGTCATTCAAGCCTTAAAGAAGTGTCAAACTGAGAATCCTCTGATATTAATTGATGAGATTGACAAAATTGGCCGGGGTTATCAAGGCGACCCTTCGTCAGCTCTACTGGAACTACTCGATCCAGAACAGAATAGTTCTTTCCTAGACCACTATATGGATGTTCCCGTCGATCTTTCCAAAGTCTTGTTTGTCTGCACAGCAAATATGACCGACACTATTCCGAGACCTCTACTAGACCGTATGGAAGTCATCAGGCTCTCAGGGTACGTCTCGGACGAGAAAAGAGCGATTGCGGACCGATACCTAGCACCTGCAGCTAAGGAACTAGCCGGGTTGAAGGGTGCAGACGTTGCTCTAACAGATGATGCTATCGACGAGTTGATTAAGTCGTACTGCCGTGAGTCGGGTGTTCGGAACTTAAAAAAACAGATCGAGAAGGTCTACCGAAAGTCGGCCCTGAAGATCGTCCAAGAACTCGGGGAGGATGTTCTTCCTGAGGCAGCGGCCCTGACAGAAGATGGGAAAGCCGCTCTAGAAGAATCAGAAAAGGAAAAGGGGAAAGAAAACCACGATCCTACTTCTCCTGAAGCCTCTGAAAAAGAAACGACAGAGAAGCCTCGCGTACCATTAAGCGTGCCTGACTCAGTTCATGTCGAGATCAACAAGGACAACCTCAAGGACTATGTCGGTCCTCCGATATTCACCTCTGATCGTCTATATGATGTGACGCCACCTGGTGTTGCGATGGGTCTTGCATGGACCCAGCTAGGCGGTTCTGCGATGTACATAGAATCCATTCTCCAGTCTGCATTAAGACCTAGTAGTCGTGCAGGGTTGGAAATCACGGGTAACCTAAAGACCGTGATGAAAGAGTCCTCTACAATTGCTTATTCTTTCGCTAAGGCGTATATGGCGAAGGAATTTCCGGATAACCATTTCTATGACAAGGCTAAGATTCACTTGCACGTGCCTGAAGGGGCAGTGCAAAAGGACGGACCATCGGCCGGCGTGACCATGGCGACATCGCTCTTATCATTGGCATTGGAGACGCCTGTCGACCCCACGATCGCTATGACCGGGGAGCTCACATTGACTGGAAAGGTACTCAGGATCGGGGGCCTGCGGGAGAAGACGGTTGCGGCGAGGCGGGCTGGTTGCAAGATGATCATTTTCCCAGACGACAATATATCCGACTGGCTAGAACTTCCAGAGGTGGGTGCTACTAACCTGAAAAAAAAAAAAAACACTCCGATGCGACGGTCTAGGCTAACATTATCGTGCAGAACATCAAGGAGGGTCTCGAGGGCCGTCCAGCCAGCTGGTACGGCGAGATTTTCGAGCTCGTCTTCCCCAACCTAGACAGGGAACAAGCGAATCGATGCAAGATCTGCGAATGGAAAAAGGAGCACGACGCTAAATCCGATAGCGACAAGGACGAATAGGAGACGGTACGGAGAATGGAGTGACGGGTACACTCCCCATAGCCCCTTCGTCAACTTGCATATTTTCCATAGACTTTACAGTAATGCATTTGCGGGATTGGGCCATCAGATAGGCGTTCAGGCGGCAATACGACGACTCGACGAAACGGCTTGGAAGCAACCCAATCATAGAATGTATTCCCTCACTCCTCACATATTTGAAAACACTACAACTTGTATCATACGATTTACCCACATACCCTTCACCTCTCATCTCTCATGAGCATAGTAGACAGGTGGACAGGTGGCAGAGCACGGCGCGCTCGCCCCCTTTCTTCCACTAGGTTATCTTACATAGTATCAAGAAGAAAGGAAAAGGAAACCACCGAAGGGCCAGACATGAGAGAAACTCTTACAGTAACGTGTCAGAACGCTAGTGATACGCCTCATACGAATGGTAAGATCTATTCGTGACAAACCTCGTGCCAAGTGCGTTGTGTCGCTGTGGCTGTTGTTATAGAGAACGATTCGAGCCGGATGCGCATGATTCATATTCGTATAGTATGAACCTCTAGCACAATTCGTAAAGAGGTATCATCAAGAATCGACATCTACCATAGAATCCCGCGCTCTTGGAGAGCGGTTGCGCACCCCACGATTTTGATTGATGTCGGAGGTCGCATTATGCAACCTGGAGATAAAAGGTTGGGCTCTACGCCACGGTAAGAAGCCAATTCCTTTTTTCCCTTCCTATCACGGGGCACTCTACACTAGGTCGGGAACTATTGCTGACCACCTCGATCGTTCGCGTAAGTTAGACGTGAGATCATTGATTACATGCCTAAAAGCCCGACGCGAAGTTCCATTAATACCTAAAAGACCTGGGGGGAAGGGGTTTGCCGATATGGCTTTCTAGGCGTAGATGCTTACCTACTAGGTGGCTATGTGCTCACCTAAGGATGAAGTATGTACTATGTATGTATGTATGTATGTATGTATGACTTGGAGCAATTGATAATTGATGGGGGTCGAGGCAAGGCGATTTCAGCCACGGGAGCCAATGCAGGGCGAGATACTTTGATCTTCCTAGGCACTCCCACGCGAGCTAGAAAAGCAAGTTGGATTAGGAACGAGTAATACTTGCAGTAGATAGGCACCTATAGACCCTATTATTATCCCTCAGGAATCGATGATAGGAAAATGAGATATTTCTAAAGCACGAGGTAAAAATGATGATGATGAGGTGCATTCTGATCAGTAAGGTCCCGAAGCGATGATCGGCTCGGTGCTTGGATTACGGGAAATACGATTCGCGAATTGGAATCACTGACGCGAGAGAGTGATCTTACAGGACCGGAACGATGCAGGGAATAATGTATTGGATGTCCTGCCATGGCGGACGAAGCATGTCATTGATGGCCAGTTGTCTCAAAGCAGCCTCGCTTTGCGTTGTTTGCGTTGTCTCCAACTTACCAACTTACCAACTTACGTTGCCTACCTGTAGAGCTATCGTATGTATCGCTGCCCAATTCTAACACCTCCTTTCCGGGCGACGATAGCGGACAAATCTAGCTAAGTCGCGTGGTGCCAACGGCTGGAATAGCGTGGTCTTAGATTGGGTAGCACCCGGGAGGAAGACAGAAAATTAGTAAACGGGGGGGGGGATATTATATCAAGTGGCTTTTAAGAAGAGCGGGTTAGGGATCGAGCGGGATCTTGGCCTAGGCTGGGGGGGCCAGCCCTAAACTATCATCTAGCGTAGGCTGACGACATTCTTCCCGGGGAGGGTAAGGAGGGTAAGGAGGGGAACAACACATCACGGTTTCTATCGGCAGGGATAGGTAGAGAAGAAGAAAATAACAAGGAACAAATTCCCTTTTTCGAAGACTTCTGACTTATAAGTCATATACTTTCATGTATACTGGTGAACTAGCTTAGGCGAACCAGTTCGTCTTCCCCTCAAGGACCTCTTATTCAATACGTCATCCCTTTTCATTTTCGTACATACAAACCATCTAGTACCACTCTGATAATGTACTGTTATGCGCGTGTCTGCTAGTTCTAGTCACGAAGCCATTGTACACTACCTTCTACTTCGTTCAGTCCACATGACCAACCGGCGATGTCGACAAGCAGATGGCTGCTGCACTAGCTTCGGGCCGGCGTCGCGGTTAGGGCAACGCTGATAGATAATACTATTCTAATTTTGTGACCTGTCAAGCTCGCGCGCCTGGAAGATCCTGGGATATCAACTGCCTAACCCTACCTAGAACTAGTATATATATGCTTCGCTCAGGAACTTACCTAATATAACTAAGGAATAACTATCAAATATGTTATTAAATAGGCAAAGACAATTACCTAGTTACACATTTTTGTAAGAGTCAATATCGTCGTTACAGTGCAAAGTCGGTGAATGCAATAGGATAGCGGTGTAAGCTCATGTTGTGTGTATGTAGTAGATAGGACGGACTCATCCTTCAAGGGGTCCCACGTGTAAGTGAAGTCATACATATACTAACTATTCGTAGTTGTGACTAACAATAGATGTCTCTTGACGATGATTATAATCCCTTGCAAGGAAAGATTAGGTAGGCTAGATGATTAAGGAAGAGCCTTAGCCCATCGGGTATCAATATTACATACCTAACCTAACCTACCTCATATAGTTTTTCGAAGAATAACGCTATAGAATTTGTTTATGATGTACATTCATACAGTCATACATTCATACATTCATAGCTGCGACAGAAGTTTTAAGTGTTAGTTAATGTTTTCCTACGATTCCGTCCCCTAATCCCCCTTATTTCAGAATTCGACCCGGACACCCCTCATTTTGGGATCGACCACTAGCATCATTGTACAACACATCAATGAATCATCCTGATTTTCCCGACTTGGTTCAATGGCCCAGCAGACCCCCCCACCAAGCGGAAAAGGGACCATAGCGGCATGGCTGATTTTGGAGGACGATAATACCATATGAGAGGAGGTTGAGGTCGAATCCGAATTGGCCAAGATAAACCCCTCCACCACTGAATTACTGTAAGCCAGTGTTATGTATAATCGATATTCTACAGGAGCATAACCTTGCATATTACCGTCTGACGAGCTGCGCGTATAAGTGCTCTTTGCTGCCATTGAGCGGGCATTAGATAGGTCCCGGGACCATTCCACCCACAATTAATAGGACGCTGTGGAGACGAAACAAATTGGAATACAAGAAAAAGTAAATGAGAAATGGACAAATGAAAAAAATGAGAAATAAAAAAGATAACCTAGAATATTACGATGTCATCAGGTGTAACTTAGGTACCTAACACATGTACCTATAACCCCGCGAGATCATTAAAAAAGCCAAGCGAGACCAAACGGGACCCCTAGCCTAATACAATGATACAATCCTGGACCATGACCAAAAAAAAAAAGGAACTTGCCAGCGGTACCGCTAATACGTTCTTGGTATGGCCAGATATTGTAGTTTTTTAACGCTTCCTTGTGCCTGCCTATGCTGTGTTGTCGTACAACTGTACAATATACAACTGTACAAATGTATGTAATATGTATAATATTGCGTCGGGGGGGAAAGTACAACGTCGATACGCTTCGTCACTCGTCGTAGAAAGTAGAAACACCTGTCTACCTCCAATTTCTATATTCGCTCATTTCCCTCTACCTTTTTTTTTCAACTTTCTCAACTCAAATGGCTATATCGTCCTGTACCCCGAAAGCGGAGTTCTCCAGGATAGCTTCTGCTTGCATATCTCCTGCATGCCGCCTACCTAGTCAAGTCGCAGCTAGACGCAGAAGAATCATACCTGACTCTTAAAAGAAAAGAAAAAAAAGAGCTGCAGGCTAGAGAATACGCACGCATTACCTTGTCGCCCATGTCGGCACATATGAGCCGCCATCGTCGTCAATTGCCAATAAGGTCTTAACAGCCTCGTTGTTGAGCTTCCTTTCCGCTTCCTTCCCCCATTCGATGTTGGGACTGCCTGCGTCAAAGCTGTCATGACCATCTCCCTTTACTATACGTTATTATATCTCGCATAGCTACCTACTACAACCATCAATTGCCTGACCAGGTCCGCTGCGCCCCGCCACTTGCATCTACTCCCCGCGCTCAGACAGTTTGCAGTTGTCCTAGATTTTACATCTAGTACATCCACAGTTTCAGCTCGGTTGAAACTGGGATCGTAGCTGAGTTAGAGCCTCAATTGCTACGATATCACTGTCTCTTCCGCACAACTTGCCCCGCAGCGCCTCCATCGTTGACCCATCCACCGATTTTCGCCTCGTCTGAGTAAAGTTTTATTTGCCCTGCCTAAATAGCAGAGATTACAAAATAGACAAGCTCCATGAAGCTTGAACGATAGGGCTTGCTTTGCTCAATGATCGCCGCCATGGCAGCAACGGCAGATATGCCCTCGCGCGAACCGCCGCTAACATCGGATACTGGTAGACTGGCCTCCATTTTGAAAAAATTTCTTGGGAAGGATAGCACGCTAACATCGTCGGTATCGTCTGACCAAGAATCTAGGACGTCTTTGGATTGTTCACCAACCTCGGGCTTGTTCCGGAGGGTGTCAAGGAAAGTGGTTCCAGGGTTGCCCCGCGTTAAAACTTTTAAGAGGCAGCAGTCCGAGGTGAGGGAGAAGCTCGAGGCGATACAACCTACGCCAGCAGAACGTAGGACTGTCTCCGTCGATAGGCGATTGCGTACTCAACGCAGCGTTTCTTGCGTGAACGAACCCTTACCGCGTGCAAGTGCGCCCGACTTCTTCGACGACACACAACCCTCTATTAGTCCTCCTACCGTGGTCTCACATGAAGTGGGGTCGGCTCCTCAGACCCCCCTCGATGAGAAGCAATTCTTAAGTTTCCAAGATATCAACAGCGTCAATAGCGCCAGCCTAGATAGGGAAAACCGTGAATTTCTCCAACCCGTGTCTAGCTATATCGAAGCTTTATCGCCTGTTGATGTTCAGTCTACCACGACGTCTCAGTATGATGCAATGATCAATGACGAGCTAGAGCGGAAATGGATCTTGAATCTGAGTATGCACTTCCGGGATAAATCCAGGAGGGAGAAGTTCTTCGTCACCTATCGCGAGGATGAATTCGTGTGGAGGCGAGTTACTATCTCTCTAGATTATCGAAACGCTCCAGATGATTCTCTAGAGAAAGATCTACTCCATATCAAATTTCAAAGGGAAAAGAGTGCCAAAATATATGAAGCTATACGCGAAAGCCTTCAAGACATCCAATTCTACCCCACCGTCACCAACCTAAAGTTGCAGACCACGGAAGGAAGGTTGCACGTCCATGTAGTGGAAGACGTTAACGTGGGTTACTCTTGTGTGAGATCATAGCATGTTACTGATTGTGTAATCCTTGTAGGAGATCATAAACTACCCTACCGTTCGTATGATCCAGCATTTGAAATGTCACCGTATCAAAGAGAGAGACCTCGCGTTCGAGTCCCATATGTCAGGTTTCGTCTACAAGGTTCGTGTTGCTGGGAAGACACTCATTAAGAAGGAGATTCCAGGACCAGATACAGTGGATGAATTTCTCTACGAAGTCAACGCTCTTAACTCATTACGCTTCTCCCAAAACGTCATAGAATTCTACGGTGTGGTGGTTGACGATGAAGACGAGATGGTTAAAGGCCTGCTCATCAATTACGCGGAAAAGGGTGCGCTCATCGACCTTATTTACGATTCTCAAGAGGAAGGTAATATCCTCCCGTGGTCCCTTCGAGAGAAGTGGGCGAGGCAGATCGTTCAGGGGTTGTCGGACGTTCACGAAGCCGGCTTTGTACAGGGTGACCTCACGCTTTCTAATATTGTCATCGACTATAAAGACAATGCAAAGATAATAGACATCAACAGACGAGGTTGCCCAGTGGGCTGGGAGCCTCCGGAGGCAACTCCACTTATCGATAGTAACCAGCGGATATCGATGTATATCGGTGTAAAATCTGACCTCTATCAGTTAGGGATGGTATTGTGGGCACTCGCGACGTTGGAGGATGAACCGGAAGCGCATCGACGACCGCTCCGATTAACTTCCGAAATCGATGTTCCGGATTGGTATCGCATGATAGTGGGGTATTGCTTGCACGAGGATCCACGTGTCCGACTTCAGGCCTCTGTACTACTTGGGATGTTTCCCGTATACGATAACGACGACGACGACGACGACTATGACAGGCATGATCTACCCTCGATTTCCGTCGACGACGGCAATTCTCTACGGGAATATACGGTAGACGGATATGAAGAAGACGGTCATCCGCATATCAAACCGGCTCAGCCCCGGAATATCTGGCAATACACTCCATTCGGTAGTACACACGTTGCACCAACAAACTTCTCTGTCGATCAATACTATCCTTCAAGGGGACGATCCCCAGCCAGGTCACTACCAAGCAACCACGACATGTATGACCCACCGTACACGGAGCGGCGCGAAACGTGGCCCACTAATTTCATGAGCCCGTATACCGACGACTTGGAACTGGGACAGGAGATTGCCGAGACTCCCAGGGGTGTGCAGTCGCCGGAAGAGATAATTGCGAAAGTGCAACAGGACCTAGAGGAAGAACAGGCTCAGGCGACTGGGAGTGAAAACCAGGTGAAGGTACCCACGTTAGTAGCTGGCGTAGGTAGTGCGCTTAGGATTAACGGTGGGAATACCGAGGGAGCCTTACCTCTACCTTACAAAGGTATAGCAGCCATTCCTTCGGGTGACGTCCATACAACAGGTAAATTAAGTGAAGAGAGGAGCTTAGAAAATCCGCAATCCGATTCCAGAGGTGGCGTTCCGAAGAAACCCGATGTGGCACAACCCGAGGAACCAGAGGGCTTGCGTACAGCCGAGATTTCGGATTATTCCCAAATTGAAGAAGCCGCTCGGCCGCCTACGGATGGAGACGGTGAAACCGGATCGCTATATCATTACACACACGACAGAGGAGACATACTACCGCGATCAACGACAGCATCACCTTCGAGACCAGCCGAGTCGCCTCCGGACTTACCAACTGATTTGACGGGTGTTGGCTCCAAATACGAGCATGATGAAATTCGAAAACTAACTTTAGACGACGATTTAGGTCATCCTACGACAGCTACAGCTACAGCAACAGATGTGACATCTTAAGCCTGAGAAGGTTATATTGAGATGCTTACACCCTTGTGGGTAGCTGTTTATGTACATAAAACATACAGAACGGCGCGAGGAGTTTTGCATTGCATATGCAATTTTTGGAGGGGGTTTTCGGGAATATTCGGGTGTCACGAACGTCTGCAAGTGGTGGACCATACTTTCTACGTTAGGGCAACGGCGAGTTAGGCGAAAATCTTTTTTTTTCCCTGGGTTTGTACATTAGAGGCAGCACATCATTACCACAACGTTTGTTTTAGCTTGACGATACGATATTTAATGTATGAGGCACAATGAATGGGTACGAAGTCGAAATGGCCGTTTGAAGAGGGGAGGGTGGGATAAGAGGTAGTGGTTCCCGGATCTTACATATTCTACATACGTTAGGCTAGGTAGTGAAATATATGTCCCCTGAGAAAATGAGGGATTGGCGTGCTTTGACAAACCTGGTTGAGTGTACTGTGTTTGATCGACATCGGGTCTGTATGCGTTGACTAGGCGAGCAAGTAAGTATACTCAGGTTCATGATTGTGTACTTGGCCAACAGATCTTGAAATGGATTTTCCTCCACTGCCAAGTGTACCTAGGTTATAGATAAGGTAGACATGATACCGATGAGAGCGATCGGTCGATGGAGTAAGGCGTGGTCTGATGGTGGTACGAGATAAGAGTTCTTAATGAGTGGTGAAGGCCCAAGGGGCGTCGAGGAATTGTTGGATTTGGCGACGAGGATGGGGATTGGGGAAGGGGCTTGCGATACACATACGTAATTAGGTATGTTAGATACCTACGTATGTGTGATATAGGTATGTGATATGTGCTGGGCGATTGTATTAGTGGTTCGGTTGTAAAGCCGTGAATCGGCTTTTTGGCGCCTCTTATCTCATCTTAGGAGTTGTGTATCGTGGCGTGGACTTGGATACTTGGCGGTTTGGGGACGGAGATGGGATGGTGTGGCGAGTGATCTTAATTTCGAGTTGAGTGTAGTTTTGTTTTACATGGGATTGATGAGGGTTGTGAGTCGAGGAATATTACGTACCTAGGTAGGTATGTAGGTAGGTAGGTAGGTTGTTAAGTCGAGAGACGTGCATTATAAGTGAATCATGTGACCAGGTAGCTATGTTGTCAGCTTGCCTTATGTAGGTGGTCTCGTTCTTTTCATCTGAGAACCTGCCTATGTAATCCAGTAAAATATAGTCACTCATATTTACCAGTTTACTTTACTCTCATGAAGGTTGTCATAGCTATGAACCTACAACCCTCTTGCTATTCTATAACGAATACCTTTCGAGCTTAAGAATTATTATTACTACGATCTGCTATCATATACAGCATTTTCACTTTCCTTTGATATCTAGATGATATAAGCAGCTCTAGCCAATCGGAAGCTATGAATATTGTATTGTAATGTGCTGCCGTTTTAGGAGAGAGGAGGCATTACTATGGATTACTACGGACTTGTTAGTCATAGTCGGATATATTACTTAAACCAGCTACTATGAAACTTGATGTCGATTTTCAACCGAATAGAAGATACGAATATATATCTTAATTACGATCTGTACAACCTAGATCGAAACTATTCATCAGCTTAGCCGTTCATATAGATCAAATGCGATGGGATATAAAGGAAAGAGGCTCAGCAAGATCCGTGGAACCTTAGATATGGGGCGCATAATGCAGAAAGTGGCGTTTTTTTTCCTTGTTCATCCAATCAGTTTCGTCAAAGGGATTTTAAGGTTGTTCTAGAAGATGTGGGGCATCACGACTATCTTTAACCGATTAGACGACGTTTCAAAATTCCTCTTTCCCGGCGCCCCCACTTATACTACGGATTCGTTTGTTGGGGAGATTGAAAGAATGATGTGCACGGCCAGACGGTCTAACGGGATCTACATAATGTGGGGAACGTGGCTAGAACGTGTAAGTTAGCAGGATCTATGATTACATTAGATATCTACATATCGATCGATTGATTGATTCATTCTTCTAGAGAATAAAGAAACTTGCCTCGGCTCATAGTTGCGGGATCATTATAGGTACTGTAGTCTCGACTATGTAGTAATATTTGGGAACTTACCTATAAACCAATGCCGACTACCCGGATTTCGCTCGCCAAGTACACAGTGGCACTTGATGGATTGATTGGCGTAGCCCTGCGGAAGGGGCTGAAGAGGGGCTTACATCAAAGAGTTTTCTGTGTTACCTAAAAATTCCGAGCTTATGCAAGGGCAAACTGATATTTATCACTTTTGATTTATGTATTTTTACACTATCTACGTAGTGGATAGGTTATTAGTTAGTATTTATTATAAATTGTGACATGTCTATTGTAAGAAAATGGACACGGATTGAGAGCGTGTACCGAGGTTGAATACGAATGCGAATAGCGCTTTCGTCTGGAAAATTATTTCGTTGTTGGCATAGATGATGGTAGAATATGTTGTAAGATCCACGTTGTGATACATGTACATAATATAGGTACTTAGGTACTCGGGTGGTGAACCTTGGAGTAGGTGGGACCTATAAAATATCACCAAAAAGGGAAAGACCCTTGAATTTTCATAGTCTCTGATTGGATATTGTCCTTGCGGCTTCGAAACCGCCACTATGGTCACTTCCCCAACAATTCAACAAATTTCAGACAGCTTTCAAAAAGAACACGCGAGATGGAAGTTGCCCGCGGAAGGAATGTACAGTCACCTGGGTAGCAGTTGTATCTGTAAGGTACTTGGTAGCTCTGTGTTTTTATCGCCCCGCGCGCATGTAACAGCTTTCTTCCCCTTCCCACCACCTTCAACAAACCCCAAGCATTCTCCTTTCGCCTATCAGATTAAGCAGGATTTTAAGCAGGAAGAGAAAACAGGATACGTACATGCAGCAGACTTCGTAACTTGATCGTCACTACATTACAATTTTCTCTGCTTCCAAGTACTGGTTTCCACCTTCGTTATGATAAAAGTGGTGACTTTATTTTCCTATTCCTAATTCATAGAAATAAAAGGCGGTTTTTTTTTTTTGCTTAACAGTTGAGTAAATCGTATAAGTCATCGGCCGACTATCAGACGTTCTAGTCGAATCACTTTGTTCCAACAAGTACATTCTTTGAACAACACACATAAGAAGGCTACAGATAATGCCGTTAGCGTTTACACCGCTTTAAGTTCCAGCAGTTACATATCAGGTACGAGTTGGGGATAAAAGTTCTTAATCGGTACCCGACTCAACCTAGATTCACCCATCTACACAGGTCCAACTAGGTCCAACTAGGTCTCGAATACTTTACGTATACATTTCCGCCACCCGTCCACCCGGCTCCAGGGGTTCAAGGTTGTACATCCCACCGATTGGTCCCCATATCCACTTGTACCTACATCCAATACTACGACCTTTTACACTCTAACATTCCCACCCCGATAATAAATATATATCTTTTTTCAAACTCCCACATCTCTTTCCTTCCATTCCTTTTCTTTAACCTTGTCGTTCAACCCATCCCGAGACCCCTTTCACCGATATCCCGAGGGCCTTGCTGGTTCAACTCTTCCATCTTCAGCACCCGTCGATTCTCAAACCATGGCTTCCGCCCCGACGGATGCCTCAGGGCCCGTTGCCGCCCCGGCGTTTCCTGATGGCACCAAGGACTACAAGCCGTTGCGGTCGTCCAAGTATGACTTGAAGAAACCGCACATTTCCGAGCTCCCTTTGACCTGGAGCAACTGGTATAAGCACGTCAACTGGCTTAACACTACCTTCATCCTATTCATTCCTTTAGCTGGGTTGATCAGCACATACTGGATTGATCTCCAGTTGAAGACGGCTCTCTTCGCCATCTTCTACTATTTCAATGCCGGTCTCGGTATTACAGCTGGTATGTTTAGATAACACCACGTTCCATCTAATTATCAAAGTTAAAAAAATACTAACATCTTTACAGGATATCACCGACTTTGGGCTCACAGTTCCTTCAGGGCTTCGCTGCTTATCAAGATCTATCTGGCTGCTATGGGAGCTGCCGCTGTTCAAGGTTCTATTAGGTGGTGGTCAAGGGGTCACCGTGCTCATCACCGTTATACGGATACCGAGAAGGACCCTTACTCCGTCCGCAAAGGCCTCCTATACTCTCACATCGGCTGGATGGTCATGAAGCAGAACCCTAAGCGAATTGGCCGAACCGACATCTCCGACCTGAATGACGACCCGGTTGTCGTCTGGCAGCACAAGCACTACATCAAGTCTGTCATCACAATGTCTCTCGTTCTTCCGACCATGGTCTGCGGTCTTGGTTGGGGTGACTGGTGGGGTGGATTCATCTATGCTGGCATCATCCGAATCTTTTTTATCCAGCAGGCTACTTTCTGTGTCAACTCTCTCGCTCATTGGCTCGGTGACCAGCCTTTCGACGACCGCAACTCTCCTCGTGACCACGTCATCACCGCGCTTGTCACGCTCGGAGAGGGATACCACAACTTCCACCACGAGTTCCCGTCTGACTACCGCAACGCTATTGAGTGGTGGCAGTATGACCCGACCAAGTGGAGCATCTGGGCCTGGAAGAAGCTGGGTCTTGCCTACAACCTAAAGACATTCCGCCAGAACGAAATCGAGAAGGGTCGTCTCCAACAGATGCAGAAGAAGCTCGACCAGAAGCGATCCAGGTTGGACTGGGGTGTTCCTCTAGAGCAGCTACCTGTTATAGACTGGGATGACTACGTTAGCGAGTCCAAGAACGGCAAGGCTCTAGTTGCTATTGCTGGTGTTATCCACGACGTCACCGATTTCATCAAGGACCACCCAGGTGGCAAGGCTCTTATCTCATCCGGCATTGGAAAGGACGCCACTGCTATCTTCAACGGTGGTGTCTACGACCATTCGAACGCTGCCCACAACCTTCTGTCTACCATGCGTGTTGGTGTTCTTCGAGGAGGCTGTGAAGTCGAAATCTGGAAGAAGGCACATATGGAGAAGGAAGGTGCCTTCGTTACCGACTCATCTGGCCGACGTATTGTCCGTGCTGGTGACCAAGTCACGAGAATCTCCCAGCCTCTTGCCGGTGCCAATGCGGCTTAAGCGGTTAATGAAGTTGATGATAAGTTCAGGTGGCTTCGACCTGGGACGGCCGTAATACTGGAGATGATAATGAAATATTACAAGTGCCGCTATTCCTAGTAGTCGATGGATGATAACCCTGGTTAAAAATTTATGTACATAAAAAGGCCATGCGGTATAAGCATGTTGAGGCAACTCGTCCTCCGGCGTTTAGAGGAAATCGGTGAAAAGGGGCTCACTACTATGCAATTCGATGGGCGTTGGCATGTCACTTACGACAGACTGAATGATTACAAGTTTGGACTGATATGAGAAAAATCCTCTCTAGCATAAATCGAACATGACGTATTGATTTAAATTTGAACTGCTTTGATTACTGGTGATGTTAAGTTTGAGCTCGATGCTTTGTGATAATTTATAATAGTGTACTAGTCATTAGGTGCTAATCTGTAGGAGAGTAGACTATTGAATATTGTACCTACTTGAGCTTTTATTGTACACATTGAGAATGTGAATCAAGGCGCCACAAATATCGAGATGTCTTGCCTCCTTGTTGAATAGATATTGGGGTGATACGATGTTGATTCATCAAAGTTCATAATAACTGGGCTTTGCCCAGTATAACTTTAGTAATTACATAATACCACCACACCCTCTTCTTACTCCTTAAGACCTAGGATAACCTAATAATACTAGGACTACGTACATCAAACAGAGGGGGGATAGAAGGTATTTCCGAGCCTCCGCTTATACATATAAGACGTATAGTAGTATACATGATATAAACTAACTAGCTAACTATCTCATAGTTCCCACGCACTCGCTTACAATATCATACCCCTTCCCCTCTATAAAAAATAAACAGGAATATATCTGAACTATTACTAATCTATAGGTATCCTTCGTATCTATCCATGCCTTCTGCTCGCGTCCGGCACTTGATCGTGCATGCATGCATACCTACATATATACATACATGTGATGCCGCCCGCATATACACGTGCATACCTACCCTATATAGGTATACATGCCTCGGTATCTACAGTCGTATCGAAAAACATTGCACGTGGAAATATAGGTAATGTAGGTAGCCAGCCATGTAGGTATAACGGAACATATCCAGGTAAAACCACCTATACAGCTATGTGAGGGGAACTAAGACCTTCGATCAGTACCTAATGTAAAGCAAATTAACCCTCTGCCCCCCTCGACCGAGCTGAAGCAGGTTGGGCTTAGCTGGGCTGTTCCCCAACGGATGGGGGTGGGAAAGCCTCGTGGCTAGATTGTGCCATATACAGGTACCTATGTAATAACTACGAAACCACTTTCTAGCCAGTGGATAGGAGATCGTAGAGGAGACGATATTACAATAATATCAAGTTCAGAAAGGCATTCGATTATACGAATTAACCAGTCTAGATTAGACTAGCCTAGATAAAAACCACAACTGGCCAGTTACAGCCGTGAAAGAAACGTCATTATATGCATGCACACACGCACACAAGGCAACGATAATAAAGAGAGCCGTTAGCTCTATCGCATAATTCATTCGGTCTACCCGGGAAGACAAAGCCAAGCCAAGCCAAGTCCCCCAGTCTGGACAACTGCCAGGTTCTGGTATCAAGTGATAAGGTTGCAAAGTACAACCTCATCCGTAAATAGTAATAAAAGTGACATACATTAATTAACGTGTCGGCGTGACCTGTTCCAACGTAAAACCATCCTTAAACACATTCCATCATCCTCTCCGTTTCAAAAGGTAATTTTGTTCTTTCTGAACCATACGCCATCTCGCGAGAGTAAGTTTTTGATCTTTGAATTTGACCCTTTGTATTTGAGGGCGATACCTCATAAGTCGTTAGCAATATGGCGCGAATTAATTTGCTTGCCAGCAATTGTTCTCGTACAGCCAAGTGTGACCAAAACACCGTGCAAATGCAATATAGATATTGGACCTTTTAAAGTATTGCCGAGAACATGAAAACGCCACCATACGCCTTTGAGCAGTAAGTAAATGTAAGGCATTAATGAAGTCCTGTAAGAACAGGTAAGTCATTATTTGAAAAGGCTGCGTAGATCCATGAGCTTTTGCTTCGCTGCCTCTGCCTTATCTATAACCCGGTTTCTGTCCATGCTAAGGCTTGCGAGCTTCTTCTTCTTCTCCTGAAGCTCAAGCATTTTCTCCTCGATGCTGTTTCGCATGATATATCTAACCGTGCGTACGGGTCTCTTCTGACCGAGTCGATGGACACGATCGACAGCTTGTGCTTCTGCTGCCGGGTTGTATTGAGGCTCCATCACGTAGACATAGTTCCCTGAAGTAAGATTTAGGCCGAGGCCACCGGCCATGATAGATACCAGTATCACATGCACCGAGTTGTCTTCCCGGAAGGCATCCATGGACGCAGTTCTGGCATTTCGACTCATCTTACCGTCAAGGCGAGTGTATCGAATCCCGACATTGTCCAATGCGATCTGAATAAGATCGAGATGAGAGGTCCAGGCAGAGAAGACAACCGATTTAAATGGGGGCTCGTCAGGATGAGCCTCGCTGTCGGCTTTTGCTTTCAGGAGGTCACTGACCAGTGCACGAGTCTTCGTGTGAGGTCCAGAATATTCCGGGTAGCCATCTTTCGTTCTGACTTTAGTTTCCGATTTACATGATTGATGGTGCCCCTCGTGTTCGACTTCGGCCTTGCTCTTGCGAATCTCATTGTAGGCGAAGCGAACATGAGACTGGCAGACGGGACATGTACCTGACCCGTGATTTCCTACCTCTTCTTCCCAGGTCGTAATGCAACTGGGGCAGAGAAGATGAAAGCAAGCAGTCATATAGCCGAGAACGTCCTCTTCACGCTCTGACGCGATACTAGCACTATCATTCGAGCCAATCTTCTTCTGGCAGGATATACATAAGTCGCTGTTGGTCTCCTGCATGAGCTCAAAAGCCTCATAAACTCTTGATTCTGCCAATGCCGGTTTCTCGTCGTCCTCGTCGCTGTCAAGGTCAATGGCAGATTCTTGGGTCATACCCTGCACCGCCTCCAAATCCTCATCGCTGAGAAGATCTCTGCCATGCGCAGAGATAAGGCGTAGTCTAAGAATGGATTGAAGAATATGAATATAGGTCCTACCACCAATCATCTTCTCCCTGCCTGCCGCCAATACCTGCACTTTATCTTGTGCATTCTTTTCGAATATATCGTAGAGTTTGCGCTCGGCAGAAGAGAATTCGAGTCTTATGATCTCGTCCGTCCTGGGAGGGAGATTGATCTTGTCCTTCAAACGCCTAAGAGTGATACTGTCTACGAGAATACGAAGCTTCGGGACAATTTCCGGGTCGCAAACCTTAAAGGGAGCTGTGATATGTTGTGTAAACTTGCTCTTTTCGTCAAAAGGCTTCAGGCGAAGGAAGGCAAGTAATGCTGCGAGATCATCCAGCTTGTTTTGGACGGGAGTGCCGGTAACGGCCCAACGGCGGTTGGCTTGTAAGCGGCAGATAGCTTTGAATTGAAGAGTGGACTGTTCTCTTATCATATGGGCCTCGTCCAAGACTACACGGAACCATCCTACCTCCTCGAGAGGATACGAACCTTGCCTGCCCTTGTTACGGGATGCTACTTCGCTAGCAACAGATCCATAGGTTGTCAAAACGAGGTCAAACATGGCAAGCTTTTCGGGATCCTTAATGCGATTGGATCCATGATAAATATAATACGTCAGCTGACCGGGTTGTATGTGAGCCTTTATTTGCTCTTCCCAATTCGTTATCGTACTGAGAGGACATATCAAAAGTGTCGTTTTGGTGTTTAGCTTTAGTTGGGTCAAGCCAAGCGGCTGTGGTGTGGGTACATCAAACTGTCCCGAAGAGTTGGGTTTCTTCTTCGACAAAAGGGGAGCCTGTGGCTGAACAGGCATAAGCTTTGACCACTCGTCGGCTTCCTTGAGGGAACTAGCAACAAGAGACAATATGCTTAGCGTCTTTCCTAGACCCATCATATCCGCAAGAATACCACCGAGGGTCTCGGGAGGGGCTTCGCGTTGCGAGCTTCCGGTAATTACATTGTAGTATATTTTTTGGCCGTCGTTACCCAAACGGATTTGCCAGAAAGAACCGATAGCCTTGCCATCACTGCCGAATTGGCGAGGCAGCTCTTTGTTCATCATAAAACTGAGTCCTTGTTTCTGGTGCTTTAGAAGCTCCGTCTGTACTCGAGGGTCGGGTTCTACCTCAGGAAGCTCTTCATTCTTTGCAAGAGAGTCAAAAACTCCCATGACTTCAGAACGGATCTCTTCAACACTAGGCATCATGGATGATGGGACCGACGTAGCCGTAGTAGGAGTCATCCTGAGCTGCTCCTTAATAAATGGCGGAGGCTTAGGTCCGTCGGCAAGCTGTGGATTCTCGTATTTTACACTATGATCGATTCTTGGGGGATTGCGAAGCCAAAGATTCTTCTGCGAAAGATGTCTCGCAACGGTCTTAGCACTCCTTCGGGGACCATAAAGCATCAGATCAAGGGTATAACTCCTTGATATCTGCTTTCCAGCTTCCTCCCCTACCACCCTCTGCCTTGTAGGTATTCTGCAGTCAGTTCTGAGCTGAAGGCGAGAGTCCAATAAGCCTGCGAGACCGGACGCGGTGCTGGCATCGACGGTTCCAACTATCTTACGCGTATGGTCGTAGGCGTGAATAATATAAGATGCCTCCCCAAGTTTTCTTCTGAGTACTATCTTTACTTGAGGCCACCAGGTTGGCATGAGTGCGAAGGCGCCTGGTTTGGGACTCGGAACGATATGACAATTAAGACTCGCGTGTTGGATCATGCCATAGCAAATCTCTTCATCCATCGGAGCTTGTACCACAACGACATCATTTTCTTCCACTATCGAAATATTAGGTATATATTCAGCTAAGTTCATAAGTGTAGATAGCTTACCACTGTCAGTAAGGTCTACGGCCTCCACCGGCCCGGTTGAATATTGCTGATTGCCCCCCTCTTGTCGCCTCTCCTTCATGTACTGCCCAACAATTCCGCCACCGCCGCCGTTTCTAAATGTGTGCGCTGGACTGACATTGTCTTCCGCCTCGAGCTTTCGGCGTTTTGATTGAGGATTGAATGTACGCTGTTCCACGTTATTCATACGGTCAATCATATTGCTAAAATTGCTAGATTGCGGCATAGGCTGATTGATGGTGGTCGTATAGCCATTCTGCGGGTTGGAGAATTGGAAATCCGGGCTATTGAATTGGAATTCGATGTCGGCTTCGTTATTCGAGTTGTTGAAAGGACGGGTAGGCGCATTTGGTCGGGTAGGTGGAGTAGGGGCAGCGTAGCCTTTAGGATTAAGTAAGAGGGCTGGATTCATATTAAGTCTCGAGGATCCATTTTGGATGGAGGCTGAATCAAAGGACAAAATGTCAGTATCATCTTGAGATCTCTTTGTGGGTAGAGTTGGTTGTATTGTTTCTATTGTTTGTACTGGTTGGGGAGGGTTGCTCTGACTTGTAGTAGTAGTGGGCGCGGGTGAGTAAACAGGGTTGTAAAGAGGGCTGTTACCCTGTGAGTGGTTGTTTGAGGCCATATTATATGCCTTCCTGGCTTGTCGCTGTGAATGTTGAAGTGGGGGGCTACATGCAGAATTGTTGTTGTTAAGACGTCCGAGGGTAATTAGAGGTTATAGACAAAGAAAGGCGAGTGCCCGAAGAAGTTGTTTTTTTCGTAGGTGGAGATGGGCATCGGCAAGGCTGGTTCGAATGATAGTGAAAAGGCGTGAAAGAACGGTCGGGGTCGGGGGCGTGAGATATAATGTAGGCTGTAGGCTGTAGGCAGTAGGCAGAGTATATGTAGAGAATACGTAAAGTAGGGCAAGTGGGCGAATAATAAACTTGCGGTTAGGCGTGAGGCCTGAAACTTAAACGTCCATCTTAAAAGATGGAAAAATAAAAGAGAGACAAAAAAAAATCTCAGATTGTTAACTTCGTCACGAGGACAATGTTAGGTACCGTGTAGGGTGAGATAGTTGTGAGTGGTGAGTGGATGTGACAGTCAAGCTTCTGAAATTTGTAGAATGGGCAAAGTTGGTTGGTCGATTACTTGTTGACTAGGAACATTTCGGGATGCATTAGGTTGACGTTGACGTGAGAAGTATCAACTCTACCCACATGTATGGAGGGGTACTTATCAAGACTTACTAATAGAAGGTATACATACTTTACTATCTTATTAAATAAGTATAAGATTACATATATCTTAAATATATTATAGGTATAGGTACTTTAGGTATATATAACGGGCAGGGTTGGCTACCGATAGGCGCAGCTACCCACCCCGCCGAGGATGCAGCTACTACAACCTGAGATGCTCCCTCACTGCTAACTGCCTGACGCGTCGCAAATCAAAACGAATAGTGAAAAATGCTTGATTGGTCTGCTGACCAGCTGAGCGCACTAATCTTAACTCATCCAGCCTGTCTTCACTTTTTACCTCTGTACTCCCCAGGCCACGTGCCCCGCAGATCTAAAAGACCCAATTAACCTGATGCAGATGCAGGCATCGTCGCCGTGGGGTCTCTTGGCACCAATCCATAGTTGTGTCCGCATCCCCGGACTTGCCATTTGATGATTTGCCTGTCTTGAGGCTTCTGATATCTTGAACTAATTAATATTTCTTATCTTGATTTCTTGATTTCCAGATTTTTTTATTTTTTTTTATTTCCAATTACATACTACTTACTAGTTAACATACATATGATTTTTATATTGCTCTCATTCCCTATTTTGTCATATTCTCTTCCTTTTTCCTCTCCCTTTTCCATCCAAGTAGATAAATGATGCACCAATCTCCTGTTACTATTAGTTTCCAGGTGGATTAAGCCAACCTTCCTGTTCCCACCACTAACTTTTTAATACCATTAGAGGCAAAGTATTAACTTCGTCGCCTTTAAACCAACCATTTAGGGTCGGGTAGTAATGTTTTTGTTGTACGATGCTCGGCGGTTGCAGTAACTCAATACAACATCACATTGTTCCAATGCCATGCCTTGTGTAGGCGTAGCCATTGGTGGATCTGTAGTATTACTATTCAGAATCCTAACTTCGAAGCTGTGACCGTATTATCCATTCTGTTTCGATTTCTGAGAAGGACTGTCGTTCCTGATCACGATTTCATGGCGGAGGAACGAAGCAACAATAGGCTCGACAGCTTTCTTTGACTCGACGTCGTGATTTCGACCTCGACTCTGTGTTCTTTGCCGCCTTCTCTTCGAAGCCTCTTGTGTAGCCGGAGAGCGGGATCTAGATGGTGATTGACTTCGATGACGGTTCAGTTGAACAACACGAATCAGCTTTCTGCGGGTTGGGGATAAGGACCCTCCTCTGAGTCGTGACGTGTTTCTGGATATATCGAGCCTCGAAGATGAACGGTGCCTGCATCGTCCACGGAAAGTAGCAGATTCTGCTGACGGTATTCGAGCTGCTGCAACTGCTAAAGTTTCGGGCGGGCTGCGCCGGCGTTTCCGTCCTCGTTGATTATCAGGTTCGGGCGACGAGAATGTTGTAATGGTGATATCGATAAAGCTTTCGTTTGTTGCTTGAACGGCCATTTCGAATTCGATGTTGATGAACTGGTGCGATTGAGATGTTGAGTTGTGTTTTACTTAAAATAATCCGATAACCTCGTTTGTCGACTGGAGGATTAAAAGAGGTAAGTCCTAAGACGGTAGATAGGGGTAAGACCTAGATCATTTGAGCCAGTGATGGGGCAAGATGCAAGGCACATTAGAGAGGATCAGATGGGGAGATATAAAAATACAGCTGAGTGTTTCGAGTCACGGGAAGGGATACGAGAAATGGAAGACGGTGAAGAAAGAATTGGGAAGAAATAGTCTAAATAAGAGATAATCTTAGAAAGTAATCTGGATCACATCGGCATAGAAAGCCAAGATGAACCCTAGGAACCTCAAGGTGGGAAGAGACCATAGATCAAGGGGACTTGGTGTCGTATAAGCTACAAGAGCCAAATGGCAGGGTTAGGATCGACAGTTCACTCCTGGGATCTTCAAATCAGACCGTCTTGGATTGGTGCATCTCTAGACCTAATGGATAAGACACGATTGGCCAACCATCCGGTGGAACTGACGTAAACTGTGTCGAACCAGAGAAACTCAGTTTGGGTCAGTCTGGGTCAGTTTGGGGCCAGGGTAACAGCTGAGTGGACACGGGCTAAGCTGGAGCCTCTCTCCCTTTTTCTCGACTAACGACTAACGACTAACGGCCTAAGGAGAAACGGTGATATGCCGGGCTTGGAATTAAAAGTTGGCGAGCTCAGACTATGTCGAACAAAATGAAGCTTAGATGGTTCGATAGATATGCGAGCTTGGTACAACTCAAGTTGCAGATGACTCGGGTAGCTCAACCTATTGCAATGCGGTCGGATTATAATCATGTACGGGATCGCGTGATATGATTCTAATTGGAGCGATTGAGGATGATCTACTACTATCGCAAAAAGTTGATTTTATTTGATTCGAGGAAAAGGAATGTTATTGATGAAATATCCGTGCTGTCGTGTTGCTTGTTTGAGGCAATTCGTGAATTGGATTATAGTGATTTAGGTAAATTGGCTACGTAGGTTAGGTAGGTAGGTATGTAGATTGTAGGGAGATTGTAGGGCGTGAGAGCTACACTATGTACGCAATATGTACTACCTTAAAAAGGATTGATATAAGCTGTGAAACGGTCCCCTCTTAGATGTATGATCTAATAGTAGCGGAAGCCTCCGATAGGTGGGGTTGGTACTATTTAGAGTCTGGTCTTAGACCCAGTAACCTATGTAGTTTAGTGGCCCTTAAGTAACTGATATGGAAGTTTAAAGCTTAGAAACGTAGGAATCTCGATATAACATCGACATCCCTCACAAGTTCCTTTTTTTTTTTTTTTACTATTGTTAAAAGCTCGAGTCAATGTTCCGCCTAGATATCTTATAGCTCATTTTTCTTGGTAGTAGCTGCAGAGATGGGACCTCAATAGAACATCATCTAAGCTAGGCACTTCTTGATATGAGTTGAAGATATATCGCTTATAAAGATATTAAACATTATTCTATATCAATCATCCAATAAGCTAATGTCGTATCGAGCTCCGAGGCTTTTCAACTAATAGAGTACCCTATATGCACCCTTGTGGGGTTTATTATGGGTGCCTTACATTGATGTAGAATCCTACCTAAGCTGCTAAGCTGCTAGGCTGCTAGGTACCTATGTAAGCAGCTAAGGTAATGTTCTAACATCTTTTAGGGAATGGAATACACCTCTTATTGACGTGACGTGTTTCGACATTTTTCGACTAGAACATCAACTTACATAACTTTAGATACATACACCGTCGCCAACTTCGAATCGAATCTTTCTTTTTTTTTCTTCTACGTCAAGATACTTGCGTTGTCGTATGTTTTTATAGTCCCTCTTTGCTACTATTTCCATTCTTTAACCCCATAATTGGAAAAGTCGCCAACATTAAGTATTGGCTAGTTAAGGTACCTATTAATTAGATACGAGACAAATCAGGGGCAGATCCAAAGCAAAGCCTAACATACAATTTTTAACTACCTTATCTTTTTGTTAATAGAATGCGATAATTTCCAAGGGACTAGACCACAGACCAGATCACAGACCCAACCCTTTTTTAATCCACGTACATTGTATCTACCTAGCATCCGCTTCAGCTATGCCTCCAAGTCGCCCGGCTACGACCGGTTACGAACGCCTGGCCCAAGCTGATCAGTTTAGCGACGACGATTCCGAAGATGATCCTTTAGCCCAGAGCTCCGCCTCGCTTCAACCTCAATCTGCTCCTCGCTATGTACCCCTCACACAACCGAGGCCTCACTCGGGCATGACGTCGCCGAAGGCACTCACGAAACTCAAGTATCAGACAAGGCGAATGCGAAGCAACTCCGGTGTTGACCTCAAAGCCATCAACGCTCGTTTAGAACGATGGGCCGACGAAATCGCATCAAAGTTCAAGAGAGGCAAGGGGAGGGGTAATTTAGGTGAAGAGGAGCGTCTCGAAATTCATTACAGCGTCTTCCAACCCCCTCAGGGTGTCCGACCCGCGACCCCCGAGACACTTGCCACCATGCCCGAGCCCGCTATGTCCAAGGCCGAGTTCGAAGCCATCGTCGAGAGCGTGCAAGTCGCCATTGACCAAGGTATGCATCCGAGTTTGATCACGCAAGGTAGCTCAGGGAGTTATTTTGCACGGAATACCGACGGTAAGATTGTTGGTGTGTTTAAGCCCAAGGATGAAGAACCATACGCTGCCGGAAACCCGAAATGGAACAAGTGGATTCATCGAAATTTATTTCCTTGCTGTTTCGGTCGAGCATGGTAAGAACCTAATCTATGCGTACCTTATATATATAAGGTAGATAGCTAAGATTCTAACTTATTTATAGTCTAATACCCAATCTCTCATACGTGAGCGAGGCAGCAGCGTATGTTCTTGATTGCCAACTCCGTACCCATATAGTCCCTTATACCGATGTTATTTGGCTATCATCCAAATCGTTTCACTATCCGTATTGGGATCGCCGGAGCTTTTACAGGAAGAAGAAGCCTCTTCCAGCAAAGCCAGGGAGTTTTCAGGTATTCCTTAAGGGGTTTAAAGATGCCAACGTCTTCCTAAGGGAAAACCCCTGGCCGGACCAGTACTGGTCTAGCTTTCGCTCAAATGACACTCACCGACATAAGCAAAGAAGATGGGCAGAAAGCTGTCGACCATCTAGTAGAGCTCCTCGTGATGCTGACAGCGAGAGCGAAGATGAACATAATGGCCCTGAACAACAGCCTCTTGGCCCCGGCAACTTTAGGTGGACTGAGTCGCTGAAACAGTCGTTCCGGGAAGAGCTCGAAAAGCTTGTTATTTTAGATTACATCATGCGGAATACGGATAGAGGTCTCGATAATTGGATGGTTAAAGTTGATTGGGAAACCCAAGCAGTCTCGATTACCTCCGAACCTCCACAACTTAATATGGATGTAGGAGAAGAAGACGACGAGCAACCTGCAAGACCTGTGCATTTACCAGCGAGGGGAAACTCAAGGAGTCCTAACCCCTATAAAGCCCAAAAACCTATGAATGCAACGGGCACGAGCACAAGCACGAGCAAGGTCCCTGATCCTAAGATCTCCCTTGGAGCGATTGACAACTCATTATCATGGCCGTGGAAACACCCGGACGCATGGCGAAGGTACTTATATTTCATTTTTCACATTATCTAAGAAGCTAAACTTACTATTGATAGTTTCCCTTTCGGTTGGCTCTTCTTACCTGTTGATCTTATTGGGCGACCTTTCTCCCAGAAAACGCGAGATCACTTCTTACCTCTTCTCACTTCTACGCAATGGTGGAGCCAGACTTCGCTCGAACTACGAAAGGTATTCCAAATCGACCCCGACTTTCAGGAAAAGATGTTCTCCCGGCAGATGGCCGTAATGAAGGGACAGGCTTGGAACGTTGTCGAAACGCTGAAAACTCCGGACCACGGCCCGCTGGAGCTTACACGAAGAGCTAGAGTATGTGTTTGGGACGACTTGGTCGAAGTCCCCGTCGCTGTACCGATGCGCGCTACATCGTCTGAAGCGCGTCGTAGAGCCGAACCAGAGGCTCGCAGTACTATCGATGAGGAAATGGACATCGGCGCAGCCATCTCGTCAGCACCTGCTAGTACCGTCGATGACCTGCTTGGGTTCTCCAGCCCGCTACCAAACCCTGGGCGTTTCGAACTCGCCAGTTCCCACGAGCAGTCTCCAGAACGAGCAGATCCCCAGAACCCATTCGACGCTTTGTCATCAAGCGCCCGTCCACAACTATCGCGTCCCCCGAGGTCAAGCTATCAGGGTCCGTCGCGCACGCAGATGAACATGTACATGCCCCGCAAGGAGCGTCGGTACTCCTTTGCGACGGGTATCAATGGCAACTCGCTTACCGCGAAGCTCCATGGTAACGGAAACGCTTACGACGAGGACGATATGGAAGGAGATTTGGGATACGCTGCGGCTGAAACGATGGATGGCAACAGGCGGAAGGTAATTGTGGAGCGGCTCGAGACCGTCAAGGCTAGGAATCCGGTGTTCACTTGGTGCTAAGCGCTTGCCTACCCAACGACATCCAGAACGATAATGAGGAGAGAAGAAAAGAGAAGGTCATATGCTGGGTTTGGTTTGTCTATTCCCGCATACACGCACGCACATACATACATACATACATACATGTGGTCTGTCCATCAGTATGTACAGTAAAGGCAATCCCGCCCTAGTAGAGAAGCAAATTTCTCTCGTATTTGCTGTCGCCCGACGGCTCGGCGGAACGGAACGGAAAGAGAAAGAAAAAAAAGAAGTAAGAAATAAGGGCGCGCGTCTCATCATGACCATGAAAAGAGGGCACGGATACGGAATGGGCATTGATTGAATTGCATGATCTTATATGTATGGGTAGACGGGGAACAACCATGGATTGGTCATCAAAGTGGTCATCAAAGTGGTCATCAAAGTGTACAACAGCAAGGAGCACAGAGCGCAGCTTAGCATAAAATAGCATAGCATAACACGGCACAGCACGGCACGGCAGGCTATGAAATCTAGAGCTTCTACGCGTTATGGAGCCTACATATAAATCGTAAGATATATATTATTTGTGTAATTTCCACTGCAGGCGCGTATATACGGCTGTTAGTGTTGGGAATATTTTGCTTTTTACTTCGGCCGTGTTTATCAAAATTCCATATGCGCTGAAGTTTAGCTGTTACCGACACAATGGAACAGCACCGGGCTTAACACGGGAATTCGCACTCGAACAATCGTAGATATATGTACGATGTACGTACCCACCTTGACACCCTGACACCCTGCCACCCTGCCATCCAGTTTCAATGTAATGGAGGACGATTTGATTTCCTGGTCCGTGAGCTACTGTACATATTAATCCAGCATTGAAGAAACGTTTACCGGCGGAGTCGTTTAACCATGCCATACCCTTGCTAATATTCATGCTATACTAATGTTATCCCAAGAAACCCAACATGCGCGGCTGGTACGGTTGGGGCGGGTCGGCACTCTGGCTTACCAGGGCTAGGGAACCAATGACCAGAAAGTAGTATTCCAGGAACTCGACATGTCTGTCCCTCCAATCATGACTACATGCGGCTATACCAGAAGAGAATATGCCGGAAGAAAAGAGACGAGACAAGACGAGAAAGAAGGAAAAATAATATTAATATCAATAATACAAGTAATAACTGTGATAATAATGACGATAATAATTAGGAGTTGTTGTCCGCTTACTAAGAAATGAAAAGTAAGGTCAAGTCACAAGTTGTTGAAGAAAAAAAAAAAGACAACAAAAAATAATATTAAAGAGCGAACCCCATAATAATAAATTAAAACGGTTGAGAGAAAAGACGGTTCCGAGAGAGAGGGACAGCGTGTCAGGGTTCAAGGAAGAGGTGGAATGGGAAAAAAGAAGGGGAATGGAAAAAAAAGCAAAAGTGATATGTGATCTGTCATATTTCAGCGTATCTGTACAATACGGGACCCTAGCCAGACAAACCCGGCAAAGACCCAGCAAAGCAGAAATGCTAGAGGAAAAAAAGAAAAAAAAAAAAAAAAACACGTCAAACCCACACTTGACCCCCCGACCGAGACCCCGGACGGCCCGCGATTGGGGGTCTGCCCGAAGAACGCTGCCGTCGGGGCCACCTACCTTGACCCTGTTCGCTCGCCTTGCCTTGCCTTGCCTACCTATGCCGCAGGCGGTCTTCTAAATCCATTCTAAGTCCAGGGGTATCGCGTACCACGTTCCCATACATAACATAACATAACTTAACATAACCCTCTCTCTCTCTCTCTCTATACCCTTTCTCATCCTCTCACCCCCTTCCCCCCTTATTTCCTCCATTCGCGTTGCTTCCATGCACCTTACCTACGTCGAAACAGCTGACAAGGTCCAGTAGCGTCTCCTTGATACACCGAAGCAGAACCCGGAAGGAGAGGGTGTGGAGAAGAGGGGGGCGTGAACGTCAAGATGATAGAAGGAGAAAAAAAAACATTAAAGAAAAAAAAAGACCTAACTAGAATTAAAAATAAACTTGACGTATCAGAACGATGGCGCGGCTTTGGGGGCTCAAAGAACAGCTCATGTTGCATGTTTGTATGCCCGGGACTACTACTCTGCCTTGCCACCCTACTGACGTACCTACCTCGTTTCTACTAGGTACGGTATCGAATTTGTACCTATCAGGTCGACGTTCATGGACTTTACTCCGCGTATCAGGAACCCATGTCTTGGATATACTAGCAATATCCTACGTCGCGGTACGGGACAGCCTGCATGCTATGCCGCCGTATGCTCCGTGATGGGTTTGGAGGGGAGGGTAGCATGCCGCGCTGCTCGGCAGATGCTTAAATCTACCATCATAAGAGGCCTCCAGATGTACGTCATTGTAACCGAGCAGCGGCGAGGGCGGCGAGACCAAAAAAAATAAATTATTGAAAACTATGTAGCAATATCGAAAAAGCCGATCCAGAGTGACCCGAGTAGACGGCACACCGAATGGTGAGGTTGCGTTTTGCTTCGCCTCGTTCCTCCGTGGGGAAGATATCTATCTATCTATTAGATAGCTAGAGGCGAGATAGATCCTCAAACCGGTCCCGCGGAAATGTCGTCAGGCTACCCATGAGATCGACTTACCAGCCTGCTGGGTAAGAAGCCTCGTTACAGTTTCAACGCTCCGGGCTCCCAAGCATTGACTCCAAAGTCGTAACGGACATGTAAGGCGTTCCCGCGTAGGCGGTAAGGCACCTTCGCCTCGCGTCTGCATGCTGCCGCACCCGAAAGGAGCGCTGGGAACTGAAAGACGTCTTGGATTGGATTGACCCTGCCAATCAAGGGTAGCGCATGGGCGGGAGAACTGCAAGCCAATCTAGCCTCAAAGGGGTTCCTAACCAGGCCTAAGTACTTGTACGTAGACTTTCCCGCAGGGTAGCACCCTGTTTCTTACCGACCCCTCAATTTCTAGCGTTGGTAGGCCAGCCAAGCTCCTCCGGGAAATAGATCCAGCCCTTCGGGCTGGTGGTACAAAGGCCATGTATATATTCAATCCCAAATTCATCTGCAACCCTCCTAATTCGCACGTGATGGAGATCGCTTGCGCTTGCGTACTGTACCGTGCCCGCTAGCTACACTACTATAGGATCCTTGCTTACGAGGGTTATTCTCTCTACAAACGTAGTATGTAGCAGCCGAGAAAACGGTACATAACCACGGCTATCGAGTATTGGCAGATTCGCAAGGTAATGATAAACAAGGGTTACTATTGGCGATCATCGCAGCGGAGAGTGAGGCTGGCCCAAATTAGTCGTCGAGGCCGCCGGCTTTTTTCCGCTATTTTTCTCTTTTAGATCCTGATACGATCACGCCTGTAGTGTCTGACCCGATACTCTGGTACACGCTAATGCATGGCTCACTAGAGTAAGACACATGATTGCGATGATGACGAAGGGGTTAACGACGGTGAAGACAGATACAGATCAGACTGTGAGATATTGAGATGTTCCAGCGAGGCTATAATCGAGATCCGCAGGTTTGCAAGGAGCCAAAACTTAAACCGAAATCCCGGAAAAGCCGACTTCAACCGTGGCCTACATTAAGACCCGTCTCGAAGCATGAGAGTGTGATCCAGAGGGGCGGGCGCCGTCCCAGCAGCAAGGAAAAATTGCGTGCGTGTGTAGTACTGTATGTATGAGGGCACAGAGGCTTTAACCATGTGTGGGCCTGTCCCGACCATAATCCTGCCTGTAGACCAGGGGTAACTAGCTAGCGTCGAACAACGAATAGACTGCCATTCTTCTCGGCAAAGAGCTCTTACCAGAAACGTGGATATCGACTTTCGATAGCCCTAGCTTTCATATCCTTTTTTTTACAACTTGTGAAGCCGACTATGAGCCGCTAAGATATCTAGTTCGACATCGACGGCCTTACTACGCATCTCGACAGGGAACTGTAGTTGTCGAAGCGGTTGCCAGTATAGAATAGTTGTCCCCTTTTCGTTCTGCTGATGGCAAACCTGCAGCGGCAGAGGCCAGTACTGTACTGTACTTTCAGCCTAGAAACGTATTGGTACCGCCGTACCGGCCACTTGGAGATCGCCGCCACCCCCCCAAATTTCTAGCGTCGTCCCTCTTAATGCTATCTCCACTGCAACGGCCCGCTTTGTTCTGATCTCTTGTGATGCTAGGTATCCTTTAATCCATATTAAATGGGTGCGAGGCATAATAAACATCCCCTGGCGGTCCCAGAGATGCCGCCTGCAGCACGTCGTCCTAGACCAAAAAATAAACTAGGGAAAACGGCCATTTGACGGTCAAGCACCATTGCTGATTCTTAGCCAGGTTGTTGAACTTAGTTTTCATCAGACCACAGTGGCGGTGTGAGGAAGCCATACTAAAATAAGGAAATCCCGTAATCTCTTCACCGTCCGGGTAGTCGCACATAAGGAGCTGTAAGTAATAGTAGGCACCGCGATCGTCACGCCAATCTCGTCGTCCCAGGACCCGGGTGAGCCTGCTCCCCTCGCGCATATGTACTAATACTAAGTGGACATAAATGATCTGGGCCAGTTACCTTGCAAATAAGTTACTGTAACCAGGCAGGCCATTCGAGGTCCTTATCCCTGTCGTCATGGTGGCCCTCCATGTACGTAAAATTCGTCTATGATTGACCACATCCGTAATACATAGTAGATTAAAAGTCATCGGCAAGTAATATATTCTTTCTGACTCAGGCTGCATCCGGCATGCTTACCAAAGACTTTCGTGTGTCTTGCCCGTGGCAGTTCGTCAGGGGTTCTGAAATATAACTTTCTGGGACGTCTAGCGGCAAGGTAGGTTGTAAGAATCCTAAGACGTAGCCAAGGCCTGCGAGTGCTAAGGGTACCCCGTTGGTGTAGCCGTCATCCTGCGTGTACTCCGTATAGGGGCACACGGAAATGAAGCCACAGCCGGTCCAGAGAGCTGGGTCCCCGAACTCCCTTAACCACAGCTTTATGGAATTCTGCTGGTTCCTCTAAAACCAGGCTAAAAATGCGTAGGCG